GGGGCGGGGCGTGGCGCCAAAGCTGCTTGCCTGCTTCGCGGGATGAGGGCGGATGGGGTGGCGTGGCAGGCGTGGCAGGCATAGCCGCGGAGTCCGTGGACTGTACCAATTCATTCAGGGGAGGCTCAGGGATTCAAGTGTGAAATTTTGCTTGTTCGCGCCCTCTCGCTCTCTCACACACACACACACGTTTGAAAGAGTGCTCTCGCGCCGCTCTCTCTCTCTCTCCGTCAAGAAGGCGTTCAGTTACTGCTCCGCCTGTTTGATGGGCCCCTTGAGGTCCATTCGGGGCGTGTCGGCGTGTCGCTGCTCGCCCTTCCGCGCCCCGCCGCCCCGCCCCGCCGTGCCTATTGGAAATCGCTTGAGCACGGCGGGGCGGGGCGGGGTGCGAGGCAGCCCGTTGGCAAGCGAGTGAGTTGTTTTGCGGGCCCCGCCGCCTGGCCTATCACTAACACGGTGACTAGCGCCACTTTGGCGAATGGGGGAGAATGTAGGCATCCGGAGCACTGGCACACACACAGACTCACTCGGGCAAATGAGGGGACTAGGGCCGTTTTCCGCGTTCCTTTTTCCCTATAGTGTAGGAGGCGAGTGTGTGTGTGTGTGAGCGAGTGCGCGTGTTTGCCTGCTTCTGGCATGGCCCAAGTGTTTCTCTACAAACACCAAGAACGAATTGACAGTCGACAGACGTCCTGAACCAACAACAAAAAGTTCTAACGCGGCGCACCAAGCGCGTCACTACCGATAATGTAATCTCAACGACGGTTTGTTCAGTCTTAAATTACGGAAGCGGGTAGACGAAGTAGGAAAGCGAACATCAGTGCTTCGTCTTGGAGAGTCGCGACACGTAATCGTTCATTTTCGCATCACATTTTGCCTTGTCGGGGCCCTCGAGCAAACGGCGTGCGGTTCGTAAGTGGGGCTCCCAAGCCCCTCTCAGATAGGCCGTGTGGGCGTGCGTACTTGTGACTCGCCTGAGTGTCCTGTCCTGACCGCCCTTCTTTCCGCGCGTTATCTGAGCCAAAATGATTCGCCAAAACGGTGTCGCCGAGCATGCGACTCGGCGTCGCTCGGCGGCCCCTTCGTGTTTGTTGACATCCCGTCGGGTAGTCTGTGTATCTGGCCGTGTCGGGTATCGCGATACGTATCGCCGTGCGCCTGAGTGCCCCCTCGTTCAATCACTCAATCACTCACACACACGCACACACACACGCACCCGCGTCCACAGTGGCTACTGTCTGCGCAATGATATTCAAGGCGCGGTGCGTTAGGCCGTTAGGGTCAGTGGGTCAGCCTGCGCGTTGCGGCGCGGCCCCGCATCCACTTTGTGCCGGTGCAAGAAGAAAAGAGAGAGAGAAGAAAAAGGGAAAAGCTTGGAACTTTGCTTCAGTCGCTTCTCTCTTTTCAGTTCCTTCCTAGAATCGAGTCTTGTGAGTCTCTTTCTTCGCGTGCGTCCATTCTTTGGCGGATATCAGAAAGGGGCGTGTGCGTCAGTGTGGCGGGGGCTTGTGGTGGGATCCCTCCCTGCCATTCAAAACACCCCGGTGAGGGTCGCCTTTGACATTACCTTGCTCCAGCCGCGCCGCCTTGGCCGCGGTTCGTCTTCGCGCGACTGTACTTTTATTTTTGGCGCGCAAACGCGGCGAAATGTCGCGAAACGTCCCCCGAAGCGCGGAGGTCGGGGCGGAGCGGCCGTCCGGGGCCGAGGCCGAGAGCGAAAGGCGGGAGCGGAGCACCGGAGCCGAGGGTCACTGGGTGCTTCCGTCCGGAAACGGGCCGGAAATGAAGGCTGGCTGGCTGCTAGCCTCGCGCGGGGCTGCAGGGCCGCGGGGCCGCGGCGTGCGCCTCGACGGCCGGCGTTGGTGCAGCGCTGCGTCGGGGCCCTGACTAGTCTCGCGGCGCCGCGTCGGGTGCCGTCGGTGGCTGTCGGACGACTGGCGCGCAGCGCGCTGGCGGGCCTCCGCCTCCGCCGAGGCCGGGCCGCCGGGCCGCGGCGCTGCGGCTGCGGCGCTGGGCGTAGCCATGGCGGAGCCGGGCCGGGCGGTCCACGCTGCGCGCCCTGCTCGCCGTGCTCGCGGCAGTCGCGGCCCGGCCAGCGAGGACTCGGCGAGGGGGCGGGGCGCCGAGGAGCACACCTGTTGGCTGAGCCCCCCCTCGGCCCGCACGCCCCTGCCCCGCAGTGGCCCTCGGCCTGTGGGCGCCTTTGGGGCCCGCGCCGTGCACAAGCAACCCTCGGCTGCGGCCACCGCGACCAGCAGCGCCGTCGCCGGCATGGCCTCCACCGACGGCCGTGGAGGTAGGCTAGGTGCATCGGCTTGATCTTCCATGCCTTTAACTTCTCCGCTCGGCGTCCTTACTTTGCCCTCCCAGTGGCGTAGCTAGCCGGCGTCTTCGCGGGGGGAGGTTTGAACCTCCTTTCGCCTGCCGGACCGACGTTCTGCCCGACTTTGCGTTCTGCAGCCACGCTGCTGGCCACGCCACTGCTCGGTGTGACGCCGTTACGTAATTTGAGCACGGCTCCGGGCGCGAAAGGGCCGTTGCCCTTCCCTCGCAGTGGGCCTGCGCGCCGGAATGAATGAATGCCGCTCGTTTGAAGCGCCGCATATATGCACCGCACGTCTACGGCCCGGCGGGGCGGGGCGGGGCGGGGCGGGGTTGTGCAAACTGCTCCTCGGGCCGCCCGGTTGGAAACGATGCTTGCCGAGCGATGTTGTTCTCGTTGTTGCTGTTGTTGTGAATGCTGTTGTGATTTTCGGCGCGCGCACATCGGCACCTCGCCGAGTGGTTGCAGGCCGTCTGTATGGCCAACACGGGTCGTTTCTCGAATCAAGATGTTGCTCTAAGTGACTTTACTTGAAGTAAATCTTGGTAGCTAGGTTCAAGAAACAACTTTTTGTGGTGTAGACGATGGATGTGACCAGCCACGCGGTGAGTCGTGTCCTTGGAGGTGAGCCGTGTCGTCCCTGACGGGGGTCGACGCGTCCGGACGACGGGCTTAGCTGGGGCCTCAAAGGGTGTCCGAGGACGCCGGCGTGTCTTGTAGTCCGTCACGTTCGCGCGTCTCGGTGACTCACACGTCGAGGGTGCAAATAGGCTTTTGTAGCGCTGGGGCGCGCCAAGGCTGCGTTCCTCCCTTCTTCTCTTGGCAAACTTTTATCATCATTTTCTTTTTTGCTATCCCCAGCGATGCGCTAGGAACGCGGCACTGAGCTCCAAGTGCTAAGCCGCGACCCCTGCTGGCCGGGCCGGGGCTCCCAGTGGAGGTACCTCTGGGTGCCGCCGCGCTGCCGGTGCTGCCCGGCCGACTAAGTTATGCCGACGGGAATTTGCATTCTGCTTTGCGATAATCGGGGCGGAATTAGGCTCTGAAGAAGGGGGGAGGGCGCCTTGTTAACCCGCGGCAGCGCAGCAGTGTCTCAAGTGGTCTTTAAGGTGCACCCCCAAAGACGCATTAACGCTCTCCGGTTTTTTGGGGTTCTCTTAGCCGGACTGGCGTTCAAGACACTCTTTTTTCGGTGGTGCTTCAAGGAGTTTCATTATTCAAGGGAGAAAGGCCGACTTGACTTGCATCCTGTTCGAAATTAGTTACACGGAAAGGGGTTCCTTGAACCCCGCTTTCGGGGCGGGTTGTCGCACGGCCTGCTCTGTAGACCGCTAAGCCGCAGTTCCCGCGGTGTTTACGTCGGCTGGATCGGCGGCTCAGCGGCGGCGACTCACGTAGTGTATTGAATTTTGGGCCGGCCTGATGTGTGGCATCAGCCGGCAAGCACCAACCTGGGCGCCCTTATTGGATTGGAGCGACGTGCGCGGCTAGCCTCGGCCCGGGGTTCGTCCGTCACAGTTACGCGTCATGCTGGGGAAGGAGCGTCTCTTTTTTCGAGCATCTCTAAACTGTCTCTCTAGGTGAGGCTCGAGACGAGACCTCTCCATCCCCCCACGTGCCTGGCCTTGGCCTCCCGCACCTTGGCGGGGGTCCACTGGCCGGCCCCACAGCTTAGCCTGACCGGCCAGGCGAGATGAAAGTTGGAGCTGATGTACGAGTCAGCGGCGAGCAGAGGGTTGATCCCTTCCACCTTGGCCGCGCCGCGCGCCGCCCCGCTGCGCTCTGCAACTTGAAGCAGCGCCCTGCCTTCCCCTCCGGAAGGCGCCTCCGACTTGGTGCGGCCGCTACACGCCGAAATGGAGTATTGGCGTCGGCAAACCGAGTGGGCGAGTCAGTCCGAGCGCGTCCCACAGTGTGCCGCCCCGTGTCCGGGTCGCCGTGTTGTGCACGTCTGCGTTCAGGAGAATTTACTGCCAAGCACAGGGCCGTTCGGTGCCGCGGCGTCCATATTTGATTCACACACCGCAGAAAGTCGTAACCACCCAATTTTTGGCATAGGAAAGGTTACTACTAATGAAAACTATTTGTTTTGACGTTAAAATCAAAAAAGAAAGAAAAAGGTTCTTTGGTGGCACCTCCTTGGCGTGGCATGCGCGCGGCCTTGACGCGATGTAGCCCCGCCGCCCCGAGAGCAAGTTTACCATTTCGCGGAAAGTCGCCCCCGTCCCGCGACCCGCGCCAAACTTGTCGTTCCGTTCGTTATCGCCGCCGTTTTTCCGCATCTTCCTTCGTTTGTTTTCCGATTGCGCGAAATAAAAAGGCAGGGGTAATGCATTCGATGACTGCGCCGCGTTGGGCAGAAACTGAAAATGTTGCGCGCCACGCCGCGCTGCGGTTATGGTGCGGGCAAACGGGGTCGGAAACGCGCTCCGGGGTGCCGGAGTGGCGGAGGCGGAGTCGGGCGGAGTGCCCCCATCCCGGCACCGCCCGGCATCGCCTGGCGTACATGAGAAACTGCGCGGCGCCGGCCGGCCCTCTGGCCCAGGCCCTGGCGGCCCCGGCTGTGCTGCTTATCCAGAAGGGGGTTCCTGGAAAGCACATTTTTCTCCACTAGCGTTTCGCGCTGCGCGTTTCGCCCTCTGTTGATTGTTTCCTTTTTGCTTTCCTTGTGTTGCAGGGCAAGGCAAGGGCACGCTGGACCTGCTGCTGTCCACCACGTACTGCCGCTCCCAGCTCTACCTCTCGCGCCAGCTCGCCCAGCTGCACCCCGAGCTCACCATGCCCATGTTCTCAGGTGAGGCTGCGTGTTGTGTGCGTGTGTAAGTGAGTGCGTGTCTCTGAGCGTAAGTCTGTGGAGAGAGAGAGAGAGAGAGAGAGAGAGAGAGAGAGAGAGAGAGAGATTCTACGCCTAATTGTAAAAGTCGGCTCCCACTTACCGGCCGCTGGAATAATAAAGTCCGCGGCGTGTCCGCGGGGCGCGGGGCTGGACGGGGGGCTGGGCGCGGGGGCCGCTGAAAGGGTTCCGGTGTGTGTCGGTCCCCGCTCTCGCCCGCATGGCCCTCGTTAGCAGATTGTCCGACAAACTTTCCTCCCTCCAACTTGGCGCGCCGTGCCGCCGCCGCGCCGCCGCGCGCACTGACTCCACTCTCTGGGCCGGCGAGTCGCCAGGTCGCGCTCCCAGAGGCGCCCCCCGGCTGAGTGCGCCGCGCCGCACCGCCGGAAGTGTGGCTCAAAGTCAATATCAGATTGATGCGTCCCGCTGGGGCGGGCCGGGCCGGGCCTGGGCAGGCCGGGCCTCGCAGCACGCAGAGGCCGCCAACTTGGGCCGCCATATCGCCCGCCTCGCCCCGCCCCGCCTCGCCCCGCCCCGCCCCGCCCCGCCCCCCCCGTTGTTGGCGATATTGTCTGGAGTGGGATAATGTGCCGCGTCCTCTTTGTAACGGCGGCGGTGGCGCGACCGGAAGGAACCGACAGGAACTCCGTAGGCTGGCCGGCCGGGGCGGGGCGGGGCGGTCCTTGAAAGTTGCAGGGGGCGGGCGGGCTGGCGGCGTGGCCTCCCCGTCCCGTCTCCGGGGACACAATGTTGTTCGCGCTCCGTGCGGCCGCGCGGCCGAGAGAGGCGAGAGCGTCATCGCATCGGTGCCCCGCGGCCGCCTCGGCGGCTGCTCCCCGTAGGTGGCCTCCACGGCGGCACGACTTGCGCCCTCCCCGTTGGGTCGCGATACCCCGCTTCCCGGAACTATCGGTTGCATCCCCACTCCCATTCTCCCTCCCCGAGGAGAGCCCCCGATCGTTGGGCAGGCCCGCGGACAGCTCTGCGCCCGGGAGTGCCTACCTGCCGGGCGCCATGCCGCCCTGCCCCCTTAAATGCTCGGGAAAACTAAAAACTAACTTGTTACGCGGATTCGCAGCGAACATGATTCTTGTCGTCGTCACAATGGCGCACTTTTGCCTTTCCTCAAACAGTCCTATTTTTACTTTATTTTTTGTCCTCGCTGACGACGCAGGGCTGCGGCTGGCTGACCCGGCCCGCGCGGTGTCCTCTCTGTCTCTGTCTTGCAACCCTACGGAACGCCCCATTCGTAGGACCGAAGTGGGGGGAGAGAGAGGGAAGCAGTGTTTCGGAATCAGCCCGCAGGCGTCGCTTTTGATTCATTCGCCTCGCCGCGGCGCTGCAGTCTCCGCTGCCCTCGGGCTTCCACGCTTCCTGGCTTTCGGGTCGAGTGGGCGCCAGCCCGCCAGCGGTCCCGATATTCCAGCAGAGGCCCTCATTCTGTGTGTGTGTGTGTGTGTGTGTGTGTGTGTGTGTGTGTGTGTGTGTGTGTGTGTGGTGTGTGTGTGTTGCCGCGTGTGTGTGATGTGTTTGGTTTGGTGCCCGGGCGACCGCGTCTCACTCTGCGCCTCTGTCTCTCCGTCTGTCCGCAGAAATCACGCACCGCTTCCAGACGGCGCGGCCCGAGGTGCGCCAACTGCTGCTGCAGTACCTGCTGCCCTGGCTGCACAACATGGAGCTGGTGGACCCCAGCGTGCCGCCCGCCAACCCGCTGTCGTACTTCCAGGTGAGTGGAGTGGACGACCCGGACCGACCCGGACCGACCCGGACCGGCCCGCACCGATCCGGCTTCGAGACCCTTCGGCCTGTAGGAGCCTTCATGTCCATCCGCCCCCGCTATGCGTCGCCCTGCGTGCGAGTATGTGCGTGCGGCTATAACGCGGACGAATGCTGTCCTTTTCGAGGGAGGAGGCTTTATGGAATACACGCTGGAATGGGCGTTCCTCCCCCGCGAGAGCGGCTGGGCGGGCCGCTTGAAGAATGGCCGGCAGGTGTGCGTGGGGAATGGGAAACTCGATCTGGCGGCGGGGCGGGGCGCGCGGCCGGGCGGACGGCAGATCGGATGGCAATTAGAACCAAGTGCGTAATGCGAGCACGCGGCGGCCAGCACGGCCAGGACGACGTCGTGGGGCGTCGCGACCCGCCAGCCCGCCAGCCCACCAGCGGACCGATTCCGAGAGTCGTCGCTCTGTGTCTCTCGCACTCATGGGTCGTCCCGTGTGGGTGCGAGAGAGACAGAGCGATGATAACGGCGACTCTCGGAGTCGGTCCACCGCCAACAGCGGCCTGCTGCCGCTTCCGCGGGACCGACCCGGCGGAGCCGCCAGTGCCGCGAGTAAATGATTTTTAATTTGGGAAGAAAGTTGGCGGCAACTTTTTGCGCCTTGTCGAACGGCCCGGCCGCGCCTCTCCTCCCTTGCGGGGCGCGTTTTAATTTCTGGACAAAGAGAAGCCTCGCCGGCCCGCCGGCCTCGCCCCTTTGCCGCTAATGGCGGCGTCTGAATGCGAGCGGCGCGGAGCAGCGCGGAGCAGCGCGGAGCAGCGCGGCCTTGGGGCCAGCCTGGCCAGCCTCGGGCAGCCTCGAGCGGCGAGCGGGCAGCCACGGGGGGAGCGCAGTACACCACACCCTGAGGCACGTCCTGGCACGCTGGAGGCAGGCCGTCCTGGCCCACGTACTACCGGTACTACGTACACCCTGCAGCCTGCAGCGCAGCGCGCCCTGCCCTTCCGTCCTGAACAGCGCCCTGCTCGATTTGATGGGGGCACGCCACGCCGCCTCGCCTCGCCTCGCTGCCCTGTGCGGGACGCGGCCGGGCCTGCTCCCCTGTATTGCCGCGCCTCGGGTATTGCGGTATCGCCTCGTGAGTGGCAGGCGGCCCCGCCCCGCCCCGCCCCCCCGCCCGCCCGCCCCCCCGCCCCGCCCCGCCCCGCCCCCCCGGCTGCGCCATAGTGGTTGATCTGCGCCCCGCGTCCGGATATTGCGGTGGAGTCTTGCGTACCGTCTCGCCCCACCCCGCCCCGCCCCGCCACCTTGGAGCGGCTCCCTACTCCGCCACGGGCACTGTCGTTCATTTTGCAATACTTTCGCTACAATTTTTTTTCTGAAATAAAAACTTGTTTGCTATTCCACCGATTGATCGCATCCTGTGGTTTAATCATTTTTTTTTTTTTTTTGGACAGAAGAGCCTTTTGTGCCAAAAAAAGCAAAATTTCACTACAGATTTTCATTGCATTTTTGTATAATAGGCATTGTTGCAAACCATTGCAAATCGTTTTCGAATTGCAAAATACGTGTGTGAATGACAGTGTGCTTCGCTGCCTTCGCCGCCGCAGCAGTGGAAAGAGGAAAAGTCGTCCCCGAGTCGGCCGGCCTTCTGCTGTCCCAAAGGCGATTGGGAATCCCGAGGCCCGAGGCGTGGGGCGTGTGGGGCGGGGGTGGCCCCGCGGCGGCCCCCGAGCCCCCGAGCCCCCGAACCTGCAGGAATCCTGGCGGGGACACCCGTGCGGAAATCCGGTGTCCGGAGAGGAGGTAGGGGCGGGTAGGGGTATCTGAGGCGCGGACTATGTGGCCTGGAAGGAGCGGCGCCAAGGTCGCGGGGCGCGGCGGGGCGGCGGGGGACTTCCGTCCTGCACAGCGTGCTGTCTGCGCTGGCGCTGCTGGCGCCAACGTTCAAGCCGGGACGCGCCGCCGACGGGTACTTAAAGCTGCTCGGGCACCGCCGTGGCCCCGCCGCGGCAGTCCTTATGAAACCCTTGTCGCAGACGGGCAGCTTCTTGACGACCTGCTTGAGCGCGGTGGGGCGGCCGGACGGGTCGAACAGGTGGAGGCAGCGGTGTCCATGGCCATGGCACGCCCCGATAATCGGCGGCGCGTGCCACGCACCCCCCACCCCGCCCCAGTCTCTTTTTTATAGAGACGATACACGCGGTGTAGTGGCGTTTATGTTAAGCCGGCAGTAAAGCGGGCTCGCGAATGGCGCTTTAACTTTTAGCCAGTGTAAGCCGCCGCCCCGCATGTGTGTGTGTGTGTGTGGTGGTGGTTTGGGGGGGGGGGGACTCTGTGTCAGGCGGCGCTCCTCAGCGACGGGGCAATTATTTGCCGGGCTGGAGATGTAGCCCGGCTTTTGCAACGTGATTATGTGACGCGTGCTGGTGGGGGGGTTGGGGGCTGGGGAGGGGTGCGCTGTTGCTGGTGTGCTCGGTGTTCCCCATTCATGAGCCGGGCGGGTCTGGCCGGGTCTGGCGGCCTATCGGGGCGCTGCGGTGCGCTATCGAGGTGCGCGTTGTGGATAGTTCGCCCGTTGCCGTTGGGGTTGGGGAGGGGGATGCAATATCCCGGACGAGCGGGCCGCCGAGTGCAGCCATTGCCTCGGCAATGCGCGCGCTGCACACTGCAGGCCGTGCCCCAGCCAATCCCACTTCCAGCGAGGCCCCTGTTCGGTTCACCTTCCGATTCCATTTTCCACTCTCTCCTTGAAATTAGTGTCTATACTGTCCCCCGCGGCCCCATTTCGCCTCGTCCACCTTCCCTCGCTCGGCCTGCCTGGCGGATCAAGGTCGTTCCCGGATTCAGATTGAGATTCAAATGGGCGGCGGGGCGAGCGAGCAGGCAGCGCGTGCGTGGGGCGGCGGCAAGCCATTCATGCATGCCTGGCGCCTGGCGGCAGTGGCTCGGAGCCCTTTTCGCAGCCGGACGTTCACCAAGGCCCCCTGCTTCCTTCGAAAATGCGTGTGTTCCCTCTGTCCTCATGTTGGTCTTGTTTCTGTTCGCAGTACTACGCCTCGGAGCTGAACCGCGCGGGCGGCAGGCGCGAGGGCTGGGGCTCGGCGGAGGCCACGGAGATGGTGCTCAACAACTTGTTCTACATCACCACCAAGGTAAGCGAGCGCGTGTCGCATGCCAGGGGGGAGGTCACGTGACGCCGTCGGACCACCGGCCACTGACTAGCGCGAGAGTGCTGCTGTTTTGATCTTATTGTTGTTTTTTGTGTTGTTTTATTTCGCGGACACCACCTGATCCTTTGAGGCCGCTGCCTGTCCGTGTAATGCACTCTGAAACTTCGGGGAATTGAGGGAGCGGGGAGCCTGCAAGCCGGAACTGTGGCCGGCTGCCGCTAGGCGCGGCCTGCCTGTCTGCCTGTCCGCCCGCCCGTCCTCTAAAACTCGACGGGAGGTCGCTTGCGTCATGAAAACTTTGGCAGAAAGTGTACATATACGAAGCCAGCCCCTCACCGGGCCTCGCCGGGCCTCGCCCCCGCGCCCTCCTTTCTCCCGTAAAGCCCGCGGAGCCTGCCGCGGAGCCCGCGGAGGCAGTGCAGGAGCCTGACGGGCCGCGGGCGGAACTTGGGTCGGCCGGCCTGGCGAGTCGCTTTCAGCGAGCGATAATGGGGTGATCGCCGCCCCCACCCCGCCCCGCCCCGCCCCCGCGGCCCAGCACCCGGGATCTTCCCCCGGGCCGAGACAGTGAAGTGCGCGGGGCCGAAGAAAGAAGAACAAACTGTTGCCGCCGCGGGGCCTGGAACTGGGCCGCTGTGTGTGCGTGTGTGCGTGGGCGGGGCGGGGCGGCCCGTCTGTGACGTGTGAGGACGGGCGCGGCGTGGCGCCCTGACGGGTCGCGATTCCGAGCGCTGTTTACATGGCTCGGCCCGAACAAAGGGACAATGGCAATGGCGCGCTGTGTGGAATTCGGATGAGCACGCCGCGGGGGTGGGGGTGAAGACCGGGACCAGGACCAAGCGGCCCAGCGACGGCCTCGTCCGCCCGTTCGTCTCGTCGCAGTCAGGGCGCCGGCCGTGGCTGCCTGTTCTACTCGTTCTCCTTTTTTTGCGGTGTACCCGTGTGCGGAGTTGCAGCGGCACGAGGTAGTTTGGGTTGGCTCGGATCAAATGGCATGGGTTGCAAGGTCTGAGCAAGGGGTGTGGCCTCGGCCTCCTCCTCGGCGTCCTCGTCCCCCGGCAAAGGACGACAACGACGTGCCCTTTCAAAGCGGTTCCGCCTGTCCTCGGCATGCAGGGCGCCTTGGTGCACGCCGGGGGGCGTGGCGCGGCGCATTGTGGGCTCAGCCGCTCCAAGTGTCAAGGCCGCCACACTGTCACCATCACCAGGCCGGGGCCGTCACGGTCACGGCGTCACCGAGGGCGTGAGCGTGGCCAACTAGTTGAGCGGCGCCTCCTCTCTGGGCCCTCGCCTCCGAGGCGGCGGGGCGGGCGATGGTCCCCGCGCGGCACGCAATGACGCTGTACCGCCAGTTGGAGCCGGCCCGGCCGCCCCGATCACGGCGTGGGCGTGGTGGAGTGGCGCACGACGAGCCAGCCGCCGAGGAAGTTTGAAACAAGGAGCTGCCCGGGAATCGATCATAAGTTGATGGCGGCCGTTGGCCAAAGTGCGGCGGCCGATGTGTGCGCCGCGGTCGGCCTGCCGTCGGGGACTTGGCGGCGACTTCTCGGGCTTCAGGGAACGAGCGAGTCCCGAAGTACCGCTCCAGTTGGGGAAGAAAGGCTGTCGGCCGTGCCCTGGCGCCCTGGTGGTTCGAGTACCGCCGGCCGGGCATTGCTTTTGCGACGGAGTGACAGAGTGCACTGGTCCAGTCTGGTACAGTCGGGGACAAAAGGGTGTGCCCTTCGCCGCCACCCTCCGCGCCGGTCTTACGCTGAGTCCGCGGCGCGCGGCGGCGACGGGTCAGTTCTTTTGTCCGCCGCGACGTGGCGCGTGGCGGTTTGAAATATGCGCCTCATGATTTGCGGGCCAACGTTTCCTCTTTCTGGTGGGCGGCACACCCCTCGGCACCCCCACACGCACCCACACGCACCCACACGCACGCCGCCGCGCGTGGTGCCGGGACTCGGGGCCGCGACCGCGGGACTCTCGCACATGCGCTCGCCGCGAAGGTCGGCACACACTCAAAGCATTTACCAAGTTTGGGACGAGCGGCGCCCCGGCCCGCGCTAAAATCCGCATGTGCCCGGAGAGAGGCACCGCGGCACCGCGCGTTGTGAAAAGAGGGAAGTTTGGCCGCCCTCGCACAGCCCGCGCATACCGCCCGCGGCGAAGCGCGAAGCGTCAGTGCGGCTTTCGGCTTTTGGCTTTTGGTTTCGTTTCGGCCGCCTTTTCCCTTTTCCCGCACGCAAGTCGCAGGGCGCCTCCGGCATTTGATCGGCTGCCTGGCGCGGGGCTTTGCGGCCTTGGGGCGGGGCGGGGCGGGGCGGGGCGCGGTGGGCAGCGGCACAGCGGCAGCCCCAGCGCCTCCGCGGCGTCGTCGCGACGTCCTGGGCCCGCAGTTCTCAACCTTGGGTTGAGTGAGGGAGGACGGCACCGGCCGCGCGGCCCTATGCGGAAAATGTTCCCCGGGACCTGTCGCGCTGCTCTTGGCGCGGCTCCGGCTCCCCGGAGAGATCGCCCCCAACCCCCAGCCCCGGCCCCGCGGGACCCCGTCGGCGTGCTGCCACCAAGCCCCCGCCGCCGAGGCCCCTCCCCCTCCCCGCTCCCTCGTGGGGTGGCCGCGGACAACACACTAGGAAGTGCGTTGACGCAAACTTGTCCCCGCTCGTGTCGGCTGACGGTCGGCTGACGTGCGCTGCGCAGTGCCGCGGCCTTGGCTGCGTCCCGGTGGTCGTCCTTGGCGTCGAGGACGATTCGCGGGCGGCTGCCGCCGTGCTGCCCCGCTGGGAGGGTCCTTGTCTTGTAGGCGGAAAGGGCTTGAATGGACGCGAGCTTGTTTCGGCTTGTTTTATTTTCCGCGAAAAGAGGGCTGTTTTTCGTGAACGGGACTGAGAAGCAAGACGACGAGGTGACCTTCTCCACGCCTGTCGTGATTGGAGCATTCCTCCGGAGGCGCCTGAGGGCCTCGGACACCCCCGGCCTCCCGGCCGTCGGGCGCTGCTGGGGATAGACTCTGTGTTCGTTAATATTCCGAGGCCGTTTTCGGGTGCTCGGGATAAAGAAATGACCAAAAACATTAAAAGGTATGATCGTTCGCCCGGCCGTCGGGATGGATTCGTGCCGCGCCGCCGCGCCCGAGGCCACCGTCGCGCCGTCAAGGTCCGTCAAGGTCACGCGCCGTCGGCGTCAAGGGCGCCACTAATCAGCAATCGTGTGGAGGGCAGCGCCGGGCAGCGCCGGCCCCAGGAGTTGTTGCCATGTGATGCCGCCAGAGCGAGTTGTGGGCGAGTTCTCAGAATGCGGGACGCCCTCAACCTCAAAGGGCACTCGGTGGAGGCGGGCCAAAAGTTTTTGAAAATAGGGAGTGTGACCCAGCTGGTGCGGTCAGCGGCGGAGATTGGCGCTTGTTGGCCCTGGCCGGCCTGGCGGCAATCTCAGGGCGACATCGTGGAGGAGGCCCCCCGCGTGACTCTGCCTCGCTCTGTGGCGGGGCGGGTGCCGGGTTCGGCACCCCCCGCGGTATGCCTGCAGGACGTCCAAGTCCCCGGGGCGCGGCGCGGCGCGGCGCGGCGTCTTGCAGGCCATTAGAAGCCCATTTGGCACTGTCGCCACGTGATACCCTCAGCACTTTGGGTGGCGGGGCCTGGGCCCGGCCCGGCCGCCAGCGACCCACTGCGGCGGAGGCAGCGCGGGCGGCGCTCGCCGAGACAGGCCGAAAGCCGGAAGGGGGCCGGAAGGGTTGTCGGATTTCCGTGGGCCGGAAAATTGGCCGCAAAATTGCGTCCCGCGTGTCGGAGTGTCGGAACGACAGGTGCGGCCGGCGCGGCGCGGCACACCCGCAGCCCCGATGATTAATGCCGGGAGGCTCAGCCCCGGCTCAGCCCCGCCCCAGGCCCGGCACGGCCAGCACGGCCTACACATATTGGCACGCGGGCGGCGCGTCGGGGACTCGAGGGGCTCGGAGGACGCGAAGGCCGCTTTGTTCTGGCGGTTCTGGCCCAGAGTATAGCACGCGTTTTCACGGAGAAGCTGGCAGGCTGAGACACTGGCTGTGTCTCTCTCGCACTCGGGGGGCGTCGCGCGGAGGTGCGAGAGAGGCAGCGCGACAAAGGCGGCACCGTTCGGAATGGGGCCGCGTGCCCTGGCGGGTATGCGCTGGGCCGCCCCGCCGGGCCGCCGTCTCGGAGAGCGCGCGCTGCTCGCGCGAGTGGAGTGGCCGGGCGTATGCAAACTCGCAGTGTTTGGGTCGCACTCGGAACTTGGGGATAGTTCCCCAGTTTAGGGGCTAAAATATTCGCTCCGAGGGAGGCCCTTGGGGGGCGTCGCGTCCTCCCCGAGGGCCGCCGAGGGCCCCGCTTGGGGCAGCCAGCCCCCCGGGGCCTTCCCGCCGACGCCCCCGCCGCCCCCTTTTCTCCATTCATGCCGCGGGTCGACACTTTCAGGGAGTCACCGGTATGCCCAGAATTTGGGGTGCCGCCAACCGGAAGCAGTTCGAAATTTATGATTGTACCCGTTTCCAACCCAATTTTTAAAAAACAGCTCCTTTTAAAGTGAGTTTTGAGCAGTACTGTCGCGCCTTGACATAACTTTTGATCCTTTTTGGTCTGTGAATTTCGTCGACTTGTCTGGTTGGGTTCCGCGTTTCTGCGCCGTTGTCGGCGGCTTTGTGCGTTGTGCGCGCCGAGGTGACGAGAGCCCGTCTCCGGCTCGGCACGCCGCCTGTCCGCGTGTGCAGTGCACCACAGCGGGGAAAAGGGGGGGGGGGAAGCTCCCCTCTGCAGTGAATCACGGCGGACGCGGACAGGCCTCGCAGGCTGTGGTTTGGCAGGGCGGGTAATAGAAGGGAGGAAACATACATGGCACCCGGGGCGGCGCGGGCCGGCCTGGCCTCTGGGCGGGTCGGTCTGGCCCGAGGCGCTGGGCCTTCAATATTTCAGTGGGCAGCCACAGCCGCGGCCCGTCTGCTGCCCGCCACGCCACCCCCGCCGCCGACGCGCTCTGATGAAGTGTAATTTTTCGGTCGCGCCGGCCAGAGCGGCCAGAGCGGGCAGAGCGCCTGCCAGCCGCCGGGGTAGGCCCGCCCGGCGCGCAGCTGAGCGCAAGTGCGGCCTACCCGCCGGGCGCTCGGCCTCGCCGCCCCGCCCCGCCCCGGTGGGCCGTTAATGTACCGCGGGCCATCGACACGGCCCGTGCAGGCTCATTCCGAACCAGTGCTCTCGTCACTCTGTCTCTCTCGCACTCGAGCGGCGTGGCGCAGGCCGTGGGGGTGCGAGAGAGACAGAGCGAACGAGCCCGCGGTACTTGTACCCCGAGGACTTTACCGCAGCAGCGGATTTACGGGCAGGGAAGGTGCGGCCGGCCGCAGCGGCAGCCGGTCGTTGACTCGCGGACGCTGATTGGCGTTTTGTTGTTGTTGTTGTTGTTGCTGCTGCTGTTGTTGTTTGGGTTGTTGTTGTTTCGTGAGCAAACAGAGGGGGCCCGCCGCGGCCTGTTGGTAATAGGATCGCGGTTTTCGTCAATCATAGCAATGAAGATTTTTGAAGATTCAAAAAAAAAAAAAAACATTTTGTTACTTAAATCCACGTGGAGAATAAAGCTGGATTGGTTGGAGAAAAAAAAAAACTGTAACGTTGGAACTGCTGTGTACAAGCATAGCCGCAAACCGTGCACCTGCTCAAAACCGCCTTTTGTCTCTCTCTCTCTCTTTTTTTTTTTTTTTGAGGGATTGATGGACTTGCGTAAATGTGGCCGTTCATTGTGCCCGCATTGCCCGCATTGCCCGCTGCTGCCGCTGCTGTCGAGGCTCGCTCGGACGCTCTCCCTGCGTCGCTCCATCTTGTCCGAACGCCACCACCGCCGCCGCTACTTGTGCTTCCTGGCCAACCCAAGTGGGATTTCAATTGTGTTCTCGCCGGGGGGCGGTCATTTTTTATTCGGCTCCGCTGCGTTATTTCCCATCCATTCTGGCCGCCCCACCCCGCCCCGCCCCGGAGCTTCCGGCGGGCTGCTGCGAGGGCTGGACACCATGGACACCCTCGACGTTGCTATGCGCTGCTATGCGCGCCCAAAGGGCCGCCGTGCCCAAGCCAGCCGCCGCGGCCGTCCGTAAACACGAGGATTTATTGATTTTCGGAATTGGCTTTCAGGGTTTGTTGCCGCCACTGCCGCCGCCATCGAGAGCGGGAAGTCGTTTAGCGGTGGAGTCCGCGGGCCTCGCCTCGCCTCGCCGCGGCGCCGCCGTCGCGGTGCTCGGTTCGCGAACAAGTTGGCGGCGGGGCCGAGGCGGGGCGGACCGCGCCGTGGTTTTGATGTGTGGACAGTCTGGCGCGAAAGTAACGCGATGGCCGTGGAATAGAGGCGAGCACGGTGAAGGTCGAGGCCGAGGCGAGTGCATGGGGTGCCTTCGCCCGCCTGTACTGTGCCGGCCAACAGAGCCTGCGATCGGGTGGGTAAGCTGCCGCGTTCTCACCCGCCGTCCCCGGCCGGGTGAGCGCTCTTACCCGGTGCCAGCACAGGTTCAGTCGGCGCTGGCCGGCCCGACCTAGACTGACACACACACACACTCACACGTAGCGGCCAGCGGCGGCGACCAGCGCTCGATCGACGAGCCACAGCGCCGACGGCGAGGCAAAACCAACCACAGCCGCGCCAAGCGACTGACGGGCGTCAGGCGAGTGGCATCTCGCTCTCTCACTCCCATAAGCAGCCAACGAGTGCGAGAGAGACAGTGTGTCGACTGGCGGCTCGCTGACTGCCGCCTGCCTCGCCGGCGACGGCAGCGGGCCGCGCCGGGCTCGGGTCGAGCCGTCGTCGGCACGCTGGGTCTGTGCACCCGTGGTGGGTAGCGCGTTACCCGGTCACCTCAACAGCGGGTGGGTCTGGGTCTGGGTATGGGCCGGCTGTGGCCGGGTGAGCAAGTCAAAGAGTGCCAGGCCGGCCGGGTAGCGCTCGGCCGCCTTACCCACCCGATCGCAGGCTCTGCCGGCCAACCAACCGGGGCCGCTAGCAGGGTTACTTTCTCGGCGCTTCCTTCTTCTCGTCGTCGTCTTTGTTTTGATGTTGTTGTTGTTGCCTTTATCCTGGCGCCCCGCGCTGTGCGGCTTATTAGTCCTAAACCCGACCCAAAACTTTAACTTTTTGTTGCAGTTCTCCGACTCGCACCCCAAGGAGATGGAGGAGGTGTGGGCCACGCTGTGCTCGTGCTGGCCCAACAACCTCAAGGTCATCATCCGCTACCTGCTCATCATCTCGGGCATGGCGCCCAACGAGCTGCTGCCCTTCGTGAGTATCCCTCATTCGGCAGACTGACTGCGAGAGTCCCTCTCGCACTCATGGGGCGTCCCGTGTAGGCGTGAGAGAGACAGAGCGACGAAAACGACCCTCGGAATCAGTCTGCAGGGGCGGTGACAACGAGAGCTCGACCGTGCCCCGTGCGCGAGTCTAGCGATTCCGGACAGTGTCTCGTCGCTCTGTCTCTCTCGCTCCGCTGCGGGACGCCCCAAGGGTGCGACAGAGACCGCGCGGGACGTCGTCTTGTCCTCGCTGCAGGCCGTTTGCCGTCCGGATTAAGGCCCACTACGGCGCGCTGCCGGTGGAGGGCGAAACGCAAGGCGGAACGACGAGGGCTCTCGCTGGGGCACTGCCAGGGCACGGCCGGGGCACGGCCAGGGCACTGGACGAAACTGTTCCACGAGTAGCGGGAACGGGACTTAGACTCCAACAGTGGCAGTATGCGCCGTGTCGTAACCATGCCCTACTTGCGTGGCATACTCAGCGCGTGGACCTTTGTGTGTGTGATAGTGAGTGTGTGAGCATGTGTGTGTGTGAGGGAGAGAGAGAGAAAGGGAGAGCGTCCGCGTGTGTGCAAGTGTGTGTGTGAAGGGCCGGGCTGCTGGGCTGGGCTTATGCAACCCCACTCACGTCCGCAATGAGGCTTCTGGCTCGTCTGTAGGACTGCAGCCGCGCCAAAGAGAGTTGTGGTTAGGCAATGCATGGAATATGCAAGGACTGCTTTCGTCGGTGGCGATGTGCCCTCCTCGGCGAGGGGCGAGGCGGTGCTGCAGCGGGGTGCGCGTGGGTGCTCGCCGTGCTCGCGCCCTCCCGCGAGCGGGCGGGCTCAAGTCTGGCCGCGCTCCAGTCAGGTAGGCGCCACCTGTTCAAAAGCGGTGCGCCAGGGGGAAGCGGAAGTGCCGAGACAGAGACACATGGCCGGAAGAAACGGCCTGTGCGCTCTGTGCGCCGTGAGTTTGCAACTGAATCATTTATTAAAGCGTCGCCGTATTGCGTTTTCGTTAGCTTGTTTGTGAGCGGACCGCGCGCTGCGTTCGAGTTTCGAGTCGGCGCCAAGACGGGCGTGCGGCCACGGCGGGGGCGGACCGTGCGAGGCAGACGAGGTACGCCGCCTGGGACTGAGGAGAGGAGAGGTGGTGGCGGCAGTTCGTCACTGTCTTGCATCCGCTCGCCGCGCTGCCGCGCTGCCCGCGTGGAGTGGAGCACCGTCCTCTCTGGAGTGGAGTGGAGTGGAGGGCCCCTGTCAAGTCGGGGGTAGGCCGCCCGCCCGCGCGACCGCGCCGCGGGTTGCCTGGCCGCTGCGGCCGGGCGTCGCGCGTGGTCTGGGAGTCTCGGTTACTCTGCAAAGCGATGACAGCGTTGGGGAAGCAAGCGGGGAGGGGAGGGGCGGGGCGGGGCGGCGTAAGCAGCTTGCTTGGCCGGGTGGCCGGGTGGCTGTATCGGGGCCAGAAGCTGGCCTGGCAGGCCTGCAGGCCGGAGAGCCCGACGGACGGGATCCTGGCCACCCTGGCCGGGGCGGCCCGGCCAGATTTGTGGTGGACTCAGGCGCAGCGCGCAGCCCCTGGAGGGGGAATTCGCGATGCCCAGGCGCCCAGGCCTCGGGGATGGCAGCTAGGTGGTACACTGTCCCATGACATCGCTCTGTGCTCTGCGGCAGGCCAAGCGGGTGGCGCTGTGCCTGGCGCGCGCGCGCCCCGACCGCCTCATGGACGAGATGACGACGGAGCTGCAGACGGTGGAGACGCTGTCGTGGCTCATCGAGCGCACGGAGACGCCCCCCTTCTTCCGCCTCACCTCGGTGCGCAAGGCGTCCTCGCACTCGGCCGAGCAGCCCTCCGGACAGCCGGGCGACCCGCCGTCCGTGCCGCCCGCCCACGAGAAGGGCACCATCCACACCAAGCGCCACAGCGGCGAGGACCCCGCCAAGGCCTGCACCGGGTAAGGCAGCCGAAGGCAGCCCACCAACGGGTTGTTCCGGGGAGCTTTCCGGGAAAGGGTTTGTGTTATTGTTGCTTGTTGGTTTGTCCAGCACCACCAAGTCGGACTCCGCTCTGCGGCCGCGGCCGGAGAAGGGCCGGACCGCGTCGGGCCCCGCGACCCTGCCCGACGACATGGCGGCACCGTCCGCGGAGCAAGAGGCGGTGCAGACGGAGGAGGCGTTGGCCTTCTCGCTCTCCAGGAACGTGAACGCGAACGCGCAGAGCCAGGCCGGCCAGGCCCCCAACAAGTTCGACATCCCGCAGCCGCACCCGCTCCCCATGCCCGAGTACGGCGGCTACTTCGCGCCGCTCACCGAGTACCTGCCCGACTGCACGCAGCCCAGCAGCGGCTTCCACCGGTGCAACCTGGCGGTGATGCTGCTGACGGACGTGGTGGTCGACGGCGTGGAGGTGGACTGGTCCGTGCACGTGCCCCTCATGCTGCACATGCTGTTCCTGGGGCTGGACCACTCGCGCGCGCTCGTGCACGAGCACTGCAAGCAGCTGCTGCTCAACCTGCTGGTGGTGCTGTCGGACCACTGCGACCACCTCACTGTGGCGCGCACCCTGCTGGCCGCCAAGACGCAGCAGCTGGCGCTGGGCGTGCCCAAGCCACAGTTACCGGTGCACCAGCACAACTTCACGGGTAATTTCAACTTTTGTGTCCTTGGCGTTCGCTGTGTTCGAGTGTCTTGCGGCACCATAAACTAATGCGCTACCCTTTACTCTGCAGAGCCTGATTCGGAGTTTGACAGCTACATGCAGGGCCCCAGTGTTGTCGCAACAACTTCGGGGGTTGTCCTTGGAAATGCCAGCTATACCACCACCACCTCTAACAGCTCAGGTCTGTCGACTTTGCCTAGAGTTCCATGGGATCTTATACAGGAAGTTCGTATTGACTGTGACCATTTATACGTCTCTATTGCAGATATCACAAAAACTGTTTCAATTGTGGGACCAATTTCGTCAGTGAGCACAGTTAGTACTGTTGTTCCTGTAAGTTCTGTTGGCCCAGTGATTGTCATTGCTGAGGACAGTTCAGCTTGGACTAGCCCCAAGCCCCTACCAGGACCAAACATGCCTGTTCAAGATGTTATAAAATCTTTAGTAGATTTCCTTGCATCAAGGTAATGTAATGTACTTACTGATTTATTCTTCTGCTGCAGAGACCAAGATCAAGAGAACTCTAATCTAATGTTTTCAATTAAATTTCAGGCAAAACCAACCTCTATGGAATTATGAAGACATAACAGCAAAAGTGTGGTCTGTTCACTCTGTTGAACAGTTAGATATTTTCCTACAACATGTTCTCAAAATTTTTAGAGATTCTTTGCCTCAAGCTCTTATTAGTGAACGTTGGGCACAAACAGCATTGCAGCTTGGGTTGTCCTGCTCCTCGCGGCATTATGCTGGAAGATCTCTTCAGGTTGGTTTTGCGAACCAAATACTGCTTTAATTTATTTTCATGACTAATTGTTTAGTAATTTTGCACTTGTATTTAATTTACTTTCAGCTGTTCAGGGCATTGAGGGTGCCTATAAATTCAAGAATGCTCTCAGATATTCTGTCACGACTTGTGGAGACTGTTGCTGAGCAGGGAGAAGATATGCAGGTAAGGACCTATGTTCAATGAAGGAAAACATGCCTGTTCAACCATCTAGTCTAACCACATCTTACAACTGTTCAATTTCAGGGCTATGTCACAGAATTGCTGTTGACGTTGGAGGCAGCAGTTGATTCACTCGAGTCTGACTTCCGGCCTCTTGATTTTATGAAAGAGATTTTCAAGTCCACCCCAAATTTAAACAACAAGGAGACCTCTGTAGTGACTGCAGGAGGGAAACGAAGCCCAGGTGGAGGTGTAACAGGACTATATGGCAATGGAAACAATCCACTCACCTCCAACCTAGGAAGCAGTGGTCACACTCGCAGTACAAGTTACTCAGTTTCATATAACATGCGTAAATCCATGCAGTCTCCTGCCAATGATAACAAAGGTTACCATCTTTCTTTTACATTTAAAACTCTGTATTTCCATTGGCGGTGAAAACATTATAACTTTTGCAGAAATGCGTGGGAGAGTAATGTCGGAGCTTGAGTCAAGATCAGCAGTTAGTGCTGGCTTAGGAAGCAAGTACCACTCAACCAACCTTTGCCGATCTCGGTCAGCTCAATCACTAAAACTATTGGGTGACAGTGCATCTCAGGTACAGTTTTTATGAGATCATTGAATAATAATAATAATTATTATTATTATTAAATAATTCTATACTCATGTCCTTTAATTTCCAGGATGATAAGCTGACTATTCTGGCCCAGCTCTTTTGGCTAGCAGTTTCTCTTTTAGAATCTGATTTTGAACACGAGTTTCTTTTGGCTCTGAGATTGCTGAGTCGTGTGCTCCACCGGTTGCCTCTTGATCGCCCAGATGCACGAGATAAAGTAGAAAAGTTACAGGCCCAATTGAGATGGAATAATTTCCCAGGAGTACATGCTTTACTCCTGAAGGTACTAATTTTTGTTTTCCTGTTCATTCTTTTAACTGTTACCTTGCCATCATTTCCATGTTCGTTCTTTTTTCAGGGATGTACAAACCATAACACCTATGATTGTGTGATGAGTCTTTTACCACAATTCACTTTGTTGTTGGATTTACCTTTCGTAGACCCTACTCAAAGTCTAGCATTCCCCATGAATGTTATAGCATTGTTACCATACCTTTTGTTGCACTATGAAGATGCAAATGAGCTCTGTATCATGAGCGCTGAAAATATTGCTCAGGTGAGTTGGTAGTCATTTGCAGACTGTCCTTATGTATTAAGTGGTGTCTTATCTGTACATTTTCACTGTTCCACAACAGGCCTCCACAGACAAGAGCAAGAAATTGGAAAATCTAGCAACTGTGATGACATTGTATAGCCGCCGCACATTTAGCAAGGAAAGTTTTCAGTGGACGAAATGTGTTGTCAAATATTTATATGACACTTATGCTCACTTGGGCCTGAATATGCTTGCTTTCCTTGTTGAGGTAATGAAAATCATGTAGCTTGTTTCATGGTTGTGTGTGTGTGTGAAAGAGGGCAGTGTTCTCACCGTTTGTCAATTTCCAGGTCCTGGAAAAAGGCCCTTCGATTGTTCAGCTATCGGTACTGAGCATCATACATTGTATGCTTCACTATGTAGACTTGGCTGCAGCTGCTGCTCAGCCCATCAATGGTGATTTGCTAAGAGTTATTCACAAATATATTGAGGTATGATTGTATTCTTTTCATCCTCCATCTTGCTATATAGAATTTTTAAAAGCTTGCAGAACAAATTAAATCTTGTGACTTTTTCTTACACTTAGGGGGCACACTGGAAAGAAGCTCTAAAAATTTTGAAGTTAGTTGTTACTCGCTCATCTACTCTTGTTGCACCACCAACTGCGACCCATTCATCACATTGGGAATCAAGTATGTCATCACCTCATCCCTCATTCTCAGATAGTGAGCTGTTCACCAAAAAGGAATTGCCAGGTCTGTTGTGTTTGCAGTATGTTGTGATCTTGTCAAATTAGTGAGTGTGTGTGTGTGTGTATAAATATAATTTGGATCTCTGGTGCCTTCCGCAGGTCGAACTATGGAGTTTACATTTGATCTTTCCCAAACTCCTCTCATTGGTCGTCGTCATGTCAGCAAGTCAGAGGAGAAGGACAACACTGCTTCTTCCAACTCCACTACCTCATCAACTGCAGCATCAAGCGCAACTCCAGGCACCGCAGGAGGTACACCCAGCACGGCAAACAAGTCTGCTGCATCATCTGCTGCAACTGTTGCTCTGAGTGCTTTGCCTGGTCCAGTGCAATCGAGCAGCTCTACTCCAGGCAACACGGCTCTCTCACCAAGACGCTCTGTGTCACTGTCTCCTGCTGACAGCACAAACATAGCTGGTTGGAAGAGACCCTGGATGTCTCAGGTACCCCAAAGTTTGCCTTTAATTTTGGTTTGCTGTAACTTTTCCATTAGTTTCATTTTGGTTTTTCCTTTTCAGGGCCGTGTCAGAGAGTGTTTAGTCAACCTATTGACAACTTGTGGGCAAAGAGTTGGTCTGCCTAAAAGTCCATCCGTAAGTATTTTCAAAATTTTCTATTTACACCTTGCTACTATGAATTTATTTTTAGTCTTGAAGAAAGATCATTTTAGTTGGAATTAGCTTTGTCAGTGCAAAACCAAAACAGTAGGCATACGATATTTGGGTGGATTTTTCATGAAATGAACATTATGTGAAACTGACATTTTTCCTGTGATTTCCTCTTTCTTGGTTCTTTTAGGATGGTTTAATATTCTCATACCACAAGGTAACTCTTGCTAAGTCGCCATACCTCTCCCAACACAAAGCTTTATGTTCTCACTATATCCAGCTTTTCATGTTCATTTAATACTTTTAAAAACAATTAGAAGTGTTTTTACCTTACAAAAAAACATTGTGATTTGGAGAAACATATCCGTGAGGACTTGCAAGGGTTTTTTAAAAAAAAGACACGTTAACACTTACACGCACACACAAACAAAAAAAAAAATAATAAAATAAAATGAAAGTATGTTTTAACAACAGACATAAAACTCACAAAATTTGCGCATTTTTCTTGTCCTTTGGTCTCACGCTGTGCACCTAAACAGGAGCTTTATTGGTCAACATTAAGATTGCTTGAGTTCACTTTATTTGTGCTATCAAGTGAAGCTAAGCCGCATGATGCATATGATTTGCTTTTTGTGAATTACACAACACTTCCACATCAGCTAAACAAGCCTTAATGTTGTCCTGTGTTATTAGTGTTTTTGATAAAGATGTATTCCTCAAAATATTTACACAAACATGATTCATCCTTTCCTGTTTGAGGTAGAATCCTTTGTCAAAAAGATTCTTCAAAATTTGACTCTGTTTGTTGCCTTGTGGATCCCTTTTGTCTTGTAGATAGTTTGGAACACATTAATGGAACATTTCATTCTAGGAAAAATTAATCTTAAATTGTTTTTTGTCTTTAGGTCATATTCAGTCAGAGTTCTGATTTGATGGAGAGGCAGTCAAGTATGGCATCATCCACCGAAGAGATGTCTGGACCAAATAATGATCTCTCTGGAGGATCCCGGAGAGATGATGGGGCAGGAACAGAGCAGTTCGGAGTGTTTAAAGACTTTGACTTCCTTGAATATGAAAGTGAAAGTGTGGAGGTAAGCAGCTTATATTTTTATTTAGATTTTTATTAAATCAAATTAATTTCTGATTTTTCATTTATCTACCATATTTTACTTTTAGGGTGAAAGCACTGATAATTTCAACTGGGGAGTGCGCCGTAGGCCTCTCAGTGAAGGGGAAACTGAAGGAGAGACCAGTTTACGCCAGATGGAAGAAAGTCTCAGCGAGAAGACACCTGTTCTCAGTAAACGGAATAGGGTAAGACCCAGCCTACTTCCAATGCTGTCTTCATCGTGCTGTCAGTAAGATCGCATTAAAATGCAATTTTGTACTTTGCAGCGAAATGTGCTGGAGGAGTCATCTGATGATGAAGTGGGCTCAGAATCTCCTTTGGATGAAGTGGCCTTGGCCCCAGAAATTAGCAGCAGTTCAGCTAGTGGAAGTGTTGTCCTGTTTCCCCCATCCTCACTTAGCCTACAACACAGGAGACGTTCTGATAACCGATCTGATACCAGGCAAGATTCCTTTCACAACTTATCTTAATGTTTGAATTATTTTGTAAATTGATTGATCCTTTTAACTATTTTTTTGCAGTGGTTCAAGTGCTGGAGATCTAGGCGATGTGACACCATGCAATGCTTCACCAAACCTCTCAGCATTAATGACATTTCGCCCCATCCTGCGCGACGATACAGAAGAGGCGTGGAGGAGGCACATTCAAAGCCTTCTCAGTAGAGTTCCCTCATCTCCCTTAGAATTGTTTTACCTGTTGCACCGTCTTGTTCGGGTAAATATTCCTCAACTAATGTTAATGATCGCCATGATTTACTTTTTTGAATGGAAGTATAAGATTGATGTTATATTGGATCTTCTTTCCAGGACGTCAGCAGCAAAGCTGTTGCACTGACTCAGGAAGCATGTTTGTATTTAGAGGGAGATTCAGCCGGCACTGACCTTCGTTCTCATTTACTGTCCTTATGTGACCAGCTCGATGGGCGTGTGATTGCCCCTTTGGTTTGGTTTTGTCCCGAAATTCTTGACAGTTCTCGCCTCACAGAAGCACTGCGATTTGGATCTTTAGAAGTCCAGGAACATTTGGAGACATTTTTAGATCGGAAAGACCACCTGGCTGAGGTAAGATGAACATGTTTGTAGTGCTTTTGGAAATGTTGTAAATTGGTGACTGTATTTTTAAAAAATATGCCTATATTACAGTGTGTGGATGCAGTAAGAGCAAGTGCAAAGCTGGAGCTCTTAGGAGAATCAGGGGGCACTTTAACTAGTAGTGGTGAGCTGGTGCTTGACCTGGGCAAGGCTCTCTACAAACTTCATTTCCAACTTGTCATGGTACTGGAGGCTGCAAACAGAATGGTTGGAGCCCTTAGCATAGCTGCAGAAACAAATCAGGTATCTTGATCTTGTATTTACATAAGTACTTTCAAAATACCTTAGTTAAATGCTAATGTTTCATTATTTTATTTTCTAATATTTCGTCAGCTTCAAGATATTTCAACTGAGGTCATCCAATTGAAAAGCGCTTTGGAAGAGAATGTTGAAGGAGAGCAACACACTCCTACAGCAACTCCATCATTAACTCCATCTGCCACTCCAACTCCTCCCCCAGAAGGTGGCATGTCGTTAATGGGAGGCAACCCAGAAAATACTCTCATGCATTTACTTCAAGAGGCGAGGTGGCCTGCTGCCTTGCATTGGGCCAAACAAAACCGGTATGATTTTATTTTGCTTTATATTTTCAGTTGAGGTTTTTTTATTTATAATTCAGTTTGTGTTTCTAATGTTACACTTTTGTTCTCAGTGGACTCTGGGGAAGTGATGTTATACCAGCTTGTTTGGAAGAAGATGATGTCATTAGCATACTTATTCTTTACTGTAAACATATCTCTCATGACAAAACCGGTAAATAATTCTCTTAATTCATGATTCTTCCATTTTGCTCTTTGAAATTATGTTCTTTGTTAAACATGTTTCCTTTTCCTTTTCAGATCTGTATGTCACAACTAGAACTGAACCAGAGCTGAGAAGTGCCTTGTCTGGTTTGTTAAACAGTCTTCTTCAAGTCCTTGAAGCTGTCAACAATCTTGAAGCAGATGTTAAAATACAAAGACAGCAACCTCCTCAAAGTAATAAAATGGACTGCTAAATGCAGGCAGAAAGAGATAGGAAACAGATAGATAGCAAGGGATGGATCTGATTGGGAAAAGTGATATCTTTATTTAATCATTATTGTGATTTCTTACTTTGTGATTTGAAATAGTTGCATAGGGTATTATTATTGTTGGTGTTGTAATTTTGGAGACCTATAGTCTTCTGGCTGCAATCATTTTTCACTTCTGGCATCTCATTTGCTTTTTTTTAGTCAGGAGTAAGTGACAAATTCTGTATTTTATTGTTTGTACATCCTGTTTTTATTTTTATTTACCACTCAGTGATATTTTTTTTAATAGTTAGTGTTTATGTGAGCAATCTTAGAACTGCTGCAGCTCAGTTGTGAATGTATCCTTATTAATAATGATAAATAGTAAGGTAGTCACAGTCCTTGTAAAAATGTGAAAAGACCACAATTCATTTGTAGCTGTTTTCCATTATGCGCTTCAACTGAATGTTAATTTCTTCTACATTATCATCGTTTTTATTCTCTGTAAGTATAAGAAGACTCAGAAATCTTTTAGAAAGTCGCCTACGGTTCTTGCTTTCTTTTGCTGAGCTTGTTGGGGGAAAGTCTTGCACATTGTTATGTATAGCTTGAGCTCAAAATAAATTCAGATGTATATTTTTTAATGAATTCCTTTGTAAGTGCTCCTATTGATTGAATGTTTTTAGAGAAAGAAGACTTTTTTCACATAAGTCTTGTGCACAAAACAAAATTATCTAATTATCAATTATAGGATGTTTTTTTTTTCTACATTACTCAGTAAGGTGATGAATATTCAAGGTGAGATGCCTGAGTACCTGTTAATAGGACTGATGATAACCAAAGACTTATTTTATTGGTTGAAGGAAAATGGAACTGTCATTTGTCAGTGTTTGGGATGGCAATAAGTAATTTTCTGTGACACTCTTATCATGAATCTTGTCGCATAAAACTTACCATTACTTATCAATATCTTTTTATGTATAAATGTTGTACCTCATTAATGGATCATAAATAAAGCTTGCTCTTCAAAATTCAAGAGGACTAATTTTTTAACCCTGAAGACACGTATGGCCTTGCACACCTAGCAAGCGCTTTTGACACACAAGGCAAGTTTGAAGAAAGGAGCTTGCAACTTTTGTAAATAATTTTAGCTAAAATGTCTGGTGGAGGAGTACCATGATGATTGATGAACCCGTGTAATAAATGTATTGGGCATGTGGGTTTCAGTACTTGACAAGAACAAAAGTAAGATGTTGAGATCTGTATTTAATGAAGATTCAGAATTATGACAAAACTGCTACAGACTGAATGGTGTGCACATTCAGACAAAGTGGTACTGGTGTCAAACCATACCTTACAATTCACTTAAGGTACAATATCAGGTATGAAAAACTTTTGCTAAGAGCAAACAAAAAAAAATTAAAAAAAAAAAAAACAATTAAGTATCTCACTCCAACATGGAAAGAAAATATAAACAAACCAGCATGGGAGGAAAAGAAAACCAAGTCAGGCAAGAGGACCTCAGTAAAAACACAAGAAGAACCCCCACATGCAGCATGGATTGGCTGTGATATAAATAAAATATGACCTCACTCACACCTTCAAGTTGTGATGCAACTATCTCATCACTCGAACTCTAAACCAATTGTCACTGTCATTTTTAAGTTTATGTGAAAGATTAATAAATATTCTAAAATTGTACATATCTATATAGATAAAACAGAAAATGAAAGTGCAGCTGTATTGGCTACATTAGGTTTCATGAAATGCAAATTCATTATGATTTGAACAATGAAATTAAAAGTGGGAGTCAATAATACACCATCTCCCTGTCAAACATGATTCTACACCGGAAATCCTTTCTCACAATTAAAACCTCAATCACAAGCAAGTCGAAAATGAGTGGAAAGATCTAGTCCAGGAAGTGCTCTTTCAGGTACTTCATCATACCAAAAGTGCGGAAACGCTTCACCTTAAATACCTTCATCATCTGGTCATCACAGATGGCAAACTGCTTGTTCTTGGGGTCCTACAATCGAGCAAAAACAGAATTAGTCAATGCATTTGGACCAAGGACAATAAAAAAATGGTAGATTGAATACTTACATAAAGGTTGCGTTCCTTGATGATGGCCCACACTTTCTTGACAACCTCTGGTCGGGCCATAGTCTCTGAGCCCACAACAGCAGCCAACTCAGGAGAGAGATTGTAGACCTTGGTGAAACCACCACCACCCTTCTTGCCCTGGAGAAAAGAAAACACAGCAGCTTAACAAAAGACCAAAACAAAAATAAATTTATAAAGGGAACATCTATAAATGAGCAAGATACTTACACCAGCAGCAGGTGCAGCCTTCTTGGCAGCAGCCTTCTTCTTGGGCTGCTTCCAGTCGTCATCACTGTCATCAGAACCCTTGGACTTCTTAGCAGCAGCGCCTTTGGCACCCTTCTTGGGGGAGGCCTTCTTTTTGGGGCTGTATTCCTCATCACTTGCCTCATCATCATCCTCGCTCTCACTGTCACTGCCCTTCTTTCTCTTGGCAGGCTGCTTCTTAGGAGCACTTCGCTTCTTGGGCTTCTTCTCTTCTTCAGATTCTTCCTCCTCCTCTTCTTCTTCCTCTTCCTCCTCCTCTTCATCATCCTTGTTCTCATCCTGCTTCTCCTGGAGGCACTCCATCACGAGGTCATCTACCTCCTTTTTGCTGTACATAAAAAACATAAGTTAAGCTCCGTCAGAACTGAAGAACCCCACCAACATTCTGAAATGATAATTGCGAGCCTTACCGTTCGTTAAGGTCGATGCCCAATTTCTTTTCAATTTGTTGACGAACCTTCTTGGCTGATGTTGTGTTAAGGTCAGCATCCTTAAGGATGGCTGCAAAGATAATAATCAATATTAAAACCAAAATAAATGGTACACCCCAGTGCGTAGGTGAAGTTAATTTTTTTTTTTAACACCAAACGGGTTGAATAGATGAGTTAAACAGGATAACAACTGTTAACAAAAACTCTTATTTTAAAAAATAAAACAAAAAGAAACAAAAACAAAGAAATGAAACATGTGCACAACTACTCTTAAAACGTGATGGACAGACTTCATCAGGAGGTAGGAAAAGAGCTGATAAGATCAAAACCGAAAGTCTGACATTGCAAGAAAACTGAAGTGACATCTCCAGCTAGCACACATGTGGGTTCCACAGCTATATTAAGCCACCAGTATCAAAGAAGTACAAGAACAAAACATTAGTGTGAACAACACAAAACCAGATTCTGGATAGAGACAACTAAATCCAGATGTAAAGTATTGAAAACGAACTTGATTTTGTTAGGCCTACAGTTGAGGCAGGGAGTGGGAGAAGCTCAGGGACAGGGCCCCACAACTTATTCGATAATTTGAAAATTACACGCCACATGGCTATCTTCCTCGGGATAAAAGTGTAGTAAAAGCCACGAGGAACTTAAAAAACATAAAAACTGAGGTCAGACACGTAGAAATTTGCTGTAACTCGATGCTTGAAAACACGCTTGGGTTGAACGCTCTGTGGGCTTGGAAGCTCTCTGTAACGCCATCTTGTACTATCCACAAGCGTCGCTCAAGAAGCGTCATATCAGCCGTCGATTTCTAAGCATGACCGAAATGCGTCGGCATGTAACGCACGCTTGTCTTGGGAACAAAACTCCAAGGAATCAGGAGAAATGAAAATAAGCCCAAGTACTGGTGTAATATCAGAGCATCGAACAAATCAACAAGGGACGCCAACTCAGTGGCGTCATGGGTGCAGAGAAAGCGAGGGAGAGGACGCAGTCGGAGAGGGATTTTACACAAGAGAAATGCCACTTTTTCCTTACAGAAGGGCCCTGTTCCAAATGCTAAAATAAACAGGGCCCAAAACTAATAGGGATTACTATATACCGAGCGCAAGAGGGTGCAGAATAACGAAGAAATTGCTATTTACCGGTAATCTCCTCACGGAGCTCCTTCTGAGAGATGTCTGCCATTTTGACTGTGTGAAGAGGAGATGAGCAGGATAACCAACTGTTGGAGGTTGAGCGACGAATGAGCTGGGGAACGAGGAACAAGGGAAACGACGCGGACGCGAGGCGCAATCACAACAGTCAAGCCGGCGACTGTTTTGCTCTTTGGATCATTCCAAGACATTGTACGCGATGCTTCTTGTGAAATATGTCGTTTTAAATTATCTTTTCTTATTTTTATTCTCTGGGAAGCAGTTTGCCTCATTAATAAGGTAGAACGATGTTTTTCGAGTAAGCATCATGCACCCGGTGGGTGACTAGCGTAGTACAGCACTGCCGCTCGTGTGGTAAACAAACAAATATTCCACAACTATAATTTTCCCCCATAAAATAATTATATATTGCATTAAGTTTCAAGTTATAATCGAGGCGAAAAATAGGCATTTTATGTCTAGCTTCAAATTTGCCCAGCCAACGTTTGTGGCACGGCCGGTGGTCGGTAGGCACCAGGTAGGCACCAGACTTCCTACGCGCCACATCTTGAAAAGATGAAAATGTCGCCAAATGTCGCCCAGGTGACAGACAGGCTAATCGAACCGCGGCAATGTAGAGTGCATGCATTAGGAAAGGAAATTCGAAGTAACTAAATAAACTTTTCAATGCTGTTTTGCATTATAACTGAACAACATCGTAGATGCGTGGAGCTTTAAACAAGACCCACTCCGTATTCACTTCGTCAATACCCCACGCCTAGAAGAAGTTTTAAACACCGGTATTAAGCCTAGAGAGTGAGGTATTTTTGGTATTTTGTTAGGTAGTTCTTTCCCGATAAAATATCTTTTCTTCGCCTGAAACATATATTGTAAGATCAGTCAATCACCGATACGCACGAAGTGTCAAAGCTGGGAAAAAGTCATAGCTCGCGCGCGGGATAGCGACAGGCCAGCTCTTGTCGAACGATGGGCAAATTGTACGAGCAAATGTGTGTATATTGAACTCAAGTGTTAAGATTTTTAATTTCCACGAAATCTTGATCATTCTTCAACAAGATGAGATGTATCAAGTAAGATTTTAGTAATTGCTTTAGGAATAATTTGTTTTGTTGCTCTACAGAGTGGATTCAATAAAACCAAACGTAGCTTGACTTGAAGAGAGAGCATTTATTTAGGTTATCACTCCTCTAGCTAAAGAAATATACACAGAAGGGTTTCTTAAATAACTTATATCTTAACAAATCCATTTAGAGAAAGAAAACATAAATTCCACAAGTAATCTTATCAATACACTAACAACTTAAGAGGATTGAACATTTACAGCAAAATTCTTAGTTTCTGAATCTGTATAAGGATGATTTATAATAGGCTTCTTATCAACAGCAAAATCTCCAGCATCATGACTCTTCTCAGGGGAGGATATAAATGGTTTCACATCATGAACAGTCAAATGTCTTTTCAAATGGTTTCTGTCCATAAATCTTTTCCCACAAACATCACATGCAAATGGTTTCTCTTCTGAATGAGTCAAATGGTGTCTTCTCAAGCTTTCCATGGACACAAACATTTGATTGCACTCATCACACTTAAAAGGTTTTTCTCCGGAGTGTGAGAGCAAATGGCGCTTCAGGTGGCTTCCACGAGAGAACTTCTGTCCACACTCTGTGCACACATATGGTTTCTCACCAGAGTGTGTCATAAGATGTCGCTTCAGGTGATTTGAATTCAAGAACTTTTTACCACACTGTGTGCAAGGAAATGGCTTTTCACCAGAGTGAATCATGGCATGTCTCTTCAAGTGACTATTTCGTGAAAATTTTTCACCGCATTCTTGACATGCGTATGGGCGCGCACCAGTATGGATCATGTAATGCCTTTTTAAATGGTAGTTTACTTTAAAAGCTTCCCCACAAATTTCACAAGAGAAAGGCTTCTCACCGGTATGTGACATAATGTGCCTTTGCAAAGCACTGTTTTGAGCAAAGCTGTCTCCACATTCAGAACACATATGAGGTCTGTCCTGGGAGTGAGACAGTACATGTCTTCGAAAACCTTTGCTGTCACATTGTTTACCACAAATATTGCACATGTATTGCTTGCCATCTGTTCCATTGTTAACAGAAAGGTCTTGGGAGCTGCTGCCTCCAATTTGAGAATCAGTAACAGGAGCAGAGGGTGTGGTTTGCAGGGCAAAATATGTTGGTGATGCAGTTAAAGTTTGAGATACGTCCTGCTCTTCTTGGAGACATTCTTTCTTCTGACGAATGAGAGTCAGCATTCGAGCTGGACAATCGGCTTTGTGTTTTTCAGGTGGATCAACTGTTGATGCTGTCCCGCAAGGACACATGAAAAATGTGTGACCTATTCAAGAAGAAGATTGAATGAAAGAATGATAAGGATACTGAACAACTGGATACAATGGGCAGCAGGGTATTTCTTACCTCCATTCTGAACAGATAGAGTATCAGGAGCAGGATATCCAGTGTGAGAAGACATAACCACCAGTTGTGACAGATTCTGAGGAGAAAAGAGAATAAGTTAGAAAGGCTAATAAAGCAGTTATGCTGTATTACAAAGATAAAATACACAAAATAGTTGAGAAAAAAAGTCAAGGACGCAAAAAATGGTTTGAGATAGCAATAACATAAAGAAAACATCCAAATTGATTTTAGTTCTAGGTGACAGAAATTGATAAACTAGAATAAAGCATTAAAAATATGCTATTATCCTCACAATAAGCAGTGTCGATATCAAAATCTGAAGGAATGAAACAAGCTTTAGAGCTCAGAAAGACGGGTAAACTCAATGATCCTTTCTTGATCCTTCAAACCAACATTTAGGGTTAGGTTTCGAAAAAAAATTGTCTACCTTAGCTTATGCCAGCTTGCAATAAATTAACTACTCTTCATGAGAGAGGAGTTGTGTACATAACTTTCCTCCATTAAATAAAGGTAACCGAATAAAATTTATAGTCTAAGATATACGTTATTGTTTATGTCAGAAAGAAGTTGAGTCGACCGGTTGGCTCACTGCCAACACTCACTTCATGCGTTCACAAGACTTTTTAAACTACAGGGCTTATGCCCAAAATAAAAATTATCCACCAACCCGAAGACTGATTGATAGAAAACACGAATTTTAAATTATAGCAAAATGGCATGTTAAATTTGTATTTGATGGTTGGACAGAATGACAAACATCCTCAACCCTTCCCCCTTCCCCTCCCTTCCCTCCTTCCCTTCCTCCCCCCCCCAAATAAAAAACAAAACAAATCACTCTACTCCCATCCATTGGTTGTCTATGATTCCTCTAAGAATAAAAACAACGACCAAAATAGTGAAATATGTATAGAAGCCAATAATTTTTGAAATTTAATTCTATTGAAAGTTTGATTGTGCGCAATCCTTTCCTCACCTAATTTATGAGTGCCGGACTTTTCATACCCTAGCAACGTAGCCTCGCATCGTTACTCACTCTGTGAAAAAGAAAAAGTACAGAAGTAGACCCCATATCCGCTTAGCCCTTAGTGGATAGTGGATAGTGGACGTTTCAGGAGAGTCTGTTCCCGGTTATAAGGCGCTGGTTCAGTGCGACGTTGCCGCTCCAAAACAATATATCATTTGAACTTATTGCGTTCTTTCTGAAGCTGCTCAGCTGCATTTTTGCATAGTGAGTTAGAATGGCTAAAACACGAGATGACACCATTTGTGGTGGGTGACAAGGCGAGGAAGTAAATAAACAAAAGCAGGCTGGCAACGTCGCACCCTGAAATGTCCACTGTCCACTATCCACCATCGCCCAAGCGGATATAAGGATATAGTTACATTCAAGCAGAAGAATGTGTCAGCGTGATAATTGATCAAGTGAAATGCATTTGATAAGAAAGAGATAAGAGGGTTTTGGTTCTGTTTGGTATTTTAATACTGCGTTAAGCCAATCGAACAACCTGGTTTAGGTCCTTGCATGATTGACATTATGTGTGACATTTACATAACGTGAAACATGATGAGACACAATGCATTGTTTGACACTGCCTCTTTAATTTGATGACCATGTCCTAAGAGGGAAAGCGGTTGCGCAGAATGCCTCTTTTTCGGAAGAAAGGGAATGAAGATCAAGTAAATAAATCCCGTCTAGAGCATAAGCTCTATTTGGTGAGTTTTGTTGTATAGCAGGTAGCTTCTGTCAACTGAATGTGATCTTTCCAAAGTAAAGTGACAGCTGTCAAAATCATGATTTTAATTTTACCATACTGTTTTGCAGGCAAGAGAGAATCCAGAACCATGTTTTGATTTATCAGACTGTGCTCTGAGGGATGTTCCCGCAGGCATCTACTCTTTATGCAAAGTTTTTCGCAAAGAGTCTCTGTTTCTGCAGGTATGTTTGACTTTATTACTGTTAAGTTCTTCTTTTCTGTTTGTTCGTTTACTCACTGACACATTAATTAAATTTGGGTTGCAGGACAACCAGCTGTCATCTCTTGATGGAGGAGGAAACCTCAGAGACCTTGCCATGCTGACGGTTTTAGACCTACAGAACAATTGTTTCTCAGTTCTTCCTGATGGGATAAGTTTCCTTGTTAACCTCAGGGTAATCAATCCTCATTGAAAATAATTCAGTTGTGAAACAATTTTTACCTAAATGTTGCATGAAATTATTAAATTTTGCATCTATTTGTGTTGCAGATGCTTAACTTGAACAATAACAAACTCACTAATTTACCAGACTGCTTCACATCTGTAAATAAACTACAGTCATTGGAAGTGGCCCAGAACCAACTGAGATCCATACCAGAATCCTTGTGTTGGCTACCCCACCTCACCAAACTAGACCTACGTGAAAATTCTGCTCTGACTCTGAGGAAACTCCCACCTACAATAACTCAGACACCTATGTTGGAAACTCTTTTAATGGATGACTCCCAACTAAGCTGCGTACCTGAGGATATAAGAGAGAACAGTACTCAAAGTATTTTGGCATTTTTTGCAGAAGGTCTGTTCTCTGTTTTACCTAAGAGAAAAGATACTAGATTACATCTCTATAGCTCTATTTCCTCTAATTATCTACTAACCTCGTTCTATTTGATCACACATTTCAGAAAATGGTATGACATACATTCCCCCTGAAGAACGCCAGATGCCAGGTCCAAACAAAACTGACATGTTGGTGAATGTCTTTGAAGCCGAGAAACAGCAAAGAGGTTTCAAGGTACTGAGCGCTTATCACCAAATTTAGGTAGAAGTGTTTGGTAAAAGCTTGAAGCATCATCCACTTTATTCTATATGTTGATTATTTTGTGGCCATTCATGCATATTAATTAAATAATACAGTACACATTTAGATCAAGTTGCTATGCTTTGGTCTCTGATCTCTCGTTCTATACATCTTGATTTCTTTGAGCATCATTTTCAACTCAACTGTCCACTGTTTTGCATGAATGGTGACAAATAACTCAGCCAAGTAATGCACTTTGGAAGCAAGTCAAATGTGTGTTGTGAGATTTGTGTCACTTCATTTGTTGTAGGAGAGACTTCATCAACTAGAGCAACTCAAGGCATGTAAAGTATAGTGCTATCTGTTAATTGCTTCTGTTGCTTATGCAATGTTGAGTAAGTGGTTTCATAATAGTTAAGCTCCAAAGAACTGACTACTTATAAGATATTTTAGCACCTATCATTAATCCTCTAACCCCCCCCCCTCCCAAAAAAAAAAAAAAAAGAAGAAGAAACAATAATAGTGCATCTATTACAGGTTTTGTAAAACTTAAATTTATTTCCTTGATTCAGAGATTAAGTGTCTATTCTCAACCAGCACTGTTGAGCTTTCAGCTGCGCTTTCAGTAGTTTCCAACTCAATCCTCACATTTGTTTGCTTTTCTGTGTGTTGAATGCAATTTATTCAATCATTCACTGAAATTTGAAATAAGGGCACCAACCTTCTTCTGCCCATGAAATCAATATCCTAAAAAAAAGTAAATTTTTATCAATTTCATATTTTTTATATTTTTACCTAACTCAACAGAGTTATTCCTGCTCTTTGATAGGATTCACACTGCAGGTTATTGTTAAGTGAAATCATGAAATAAGTGAAAATAAGTGAAATCATAGTGCTTCATGAGCGAAGCAATACTTGGACCCAATAAGCAAACTTTCTTCCACAAATAGTTTAAGGTCACTGAGATTTCACATAACACTATACTTCAGATTTGTGAGTTTTGCACTTGTTATGCACTTGTGTATTATGTGTGATGTGAAACACTATCAGGCACAGAAGCAGAAAGAGCGGATGATTTTGGAAGCAGACCGTGGGCGAACATACCAAAGGGAATTTGAGACTTGCTCTGCTCTTAAAGAGAACAGAGATCGGGTAAGTCAATTTAGGTTTTCTGTTAAAGACACCCTCTTTCTAAACGATGATTTAAACTTGATACAGCAGAAAAAAAATCCAAGAAAATACCGTAAATCAAACCATGTGTTGCTTCATTTATACTACTCCTAATGATGATAACAACAAAGAACTTTGTAACAATGACTGCTTTTCTTTCGTAGCTTCTGGCTCACTTGGCTGTTCAACAAACAAAGCTTGAGCAGAAGGTTGAAAAGCTTCAGCAACAAAGAGAAGAAGAAAGACACCGGCTGATCCAACATTTGCAAGATGGTAATGTATGAATATTCAGTTTTGTTGTTCATTTTACTTACTCTGTTGCCCTTTGTTGCAATTCTGCAGCTTGTTCTACCTTTGTACAATGAGGATACTCTCAACAAAAATCTAACTAGTCTAATGTGTATTAATTATACACCTAACATTTTTTTAAAATTTGTGTTTACAGTGGAACGTAATACAGATGCTATGATTACGCAGCTGTTGTTATTATCTGCTCAAGAAAGAGAACAGGAACGACAAGACAAATTGCAGAGAGCCCAGGAAGAAGAACAAGAATTGCTAGCGGCTATGCAAAGGCAGCATCGAGATTTGCAGAGACATGATGTTCTAGGTTTGTAGAATGTGTTATTTCGAGTGCCCTCTCTGGGTCTAGACAAATTATAAAATGAATGCAACTTTTCCCATTGCTTTCAAGATGGAATGAAACAGCTGGTAGAGGAAGAATTAAAGCAAGAAAAGAGAATGCGAGAATATGAGCAGTGTCGAGTGGAGATGACAAACAGTTTACTCAGCAAGTATGTTCTTTCTCTTTTATGATTGCAACTTTTTCTTTCCTTGGAGTTGATAATCCCCTCAAGAAACAACTTTGTCTTTGCAGGGAGCTTGAGTCAAGCAACATTCTCCTCTGTGCAGTGGATAGGTACAGTAGTGCTCAGTTAGAACTTGTTCAGCGTTTGCAAAGAGATGAAGAATTGCAAAAAGCAGCTGTATGCTCACTTTTAGAACGTAGTGATGCAAGGACGTGGGGATTAGTACAACAAGTTGCTCTTGTGGAACAGCAATTGGCACAGCTCACTGCTCTTGAACTTCAGAGGAGGAATCACCAGTTATCAGAACAGCTTGTAAGAAATTGTTGAAGTACATACTCTAATCATCAGTAGATTTTATGTGGAGTTCTTACCTAATAATACTGCCAAATTTCCAGTCTGATCTTGCAGAAAAACGGACTGCTCTCTCATCGCTCTTAGTTCACCTTTTAGAGGAGCAGGCTTCTCGAAGAGACCAGTTGATTCACACTCTTAATGAAATGGAACGTCAACGTCAGGTAACTTGATTTTGTTGGGCAAAGTGATAAGTTTACAAATGAAAGTCTTTGAATAGCTAAAGTCATTACCTTTTATGTTGTAGGATAATTCAGACTTTTGGCTACACCAGTATCAGCGTCTCCTTGATTCTAGACCTAACAAGTTCATTGATAAGGAAAGAGTACTAGATCCCATTCTAGCCAACCATTTAGTTCTGAATGGAGTGGTTCATTGCTTACCGTTTCTAGTGCAGTGGATGCATGATCCTGATTCCTTACTGTCTGTGACAGACTCTCAGCTGAAAGTGGTAAGGGCTTCATACATTAGTTTCAATTATGAACTTGATCTCTTCGCACCTCTCAACAGAACTTTGATTTAAAATACTAAAAGTGGATCTGTTGCTTTTTTAATTTTCAGGCAGGTATCAGGTCAGAAGAAGACAGACAGAAAGTTTTGAGAGCTTTAAAGTTATATGTTGAAGAACGAGAATGTGCCATTTTAAAACTGTCTGACTTCCATCCCTCAAATCTACCATCAGCTCCAGTTGAAGAAGCCTCTGCAATGCCTCAGGCACCTTCAACTTCAGGAGTATTGGAAGAGGCAGATTTCAATGTCCCAAAGAGCATAATTGAAACAGAATGTGTGATATGCATGGAATCAGCAGTAAGTACAGAGATACATAATCATGTTTGGTGTGGTTCCTTATCCTAATCTATTCAAATTATAGCTCTTTTTATTTGTTTTGCAGTGCGACGTGATAATTTTGCAATGTGGTCATATGTGTTGCTGTGCAAAATGCTGTGAACCATTAAATAACTGTCCAATGTGCCGTGGTGACATTGAACGCAAGATCAGAGTGAGAGCACCCTAAGCCTAGTCTCATGTTCTGGAACTTCATTGATTACTAAGTCATTTTTTTTCCAACTTGTTTTAAATTCAAACAATACCATTGAGTTTAATAATAACAATAATTTAATGAACATTATTTTAGGTTTTCTATGTATTTTTATTCAAGTATTGTATTGCTTCACCTAAAGGAAAACAGGTCTGGATGTATATCAGGCAAGACCAAGGATAAGGATGCCTCTATGATTGCTAATCGATGATTCTCTTTGAATGATTGTTCGGTATGTCCTGAGCTAGAGTATTAAGACCAGACCAAAGGAGGGGCATCCATCCTGTTAGTACTGTACTCTGCCGGTGGTACATTCAATGACCACCCTGTGCCATGTTCTCTTTTTATTGTAAACCGGTAATAACCTGTCCAAGAACTTTGCTGTTCAATTTTATGTCAAAATTTTATAAGATGACATATCACAAATTGCACTTTGTCGGCAAAATCTTATTTCCATTTTCTGCTTTAGCTTATTTCTGCTACAACTGAAATCTACTGTTTTGTATTAGAAATCTTTATTCCTCATTTAAGTTTTGATTAAATGATAAATGTGACCAAACTACGCACATAAAATGTTTTGTATTCAATGTATGACAGGCAATAAGATACTGGTGAATAAGAGTCCAACCAAAAGCTAGTTGTGTTTGGAACTAGGGTCAGCTGCTATGGATAAGAATGCAAAAGAAAATGAGAATATTCGCATTTGAAGCAATAAATTTGACCAATTGCCGTTGTGATTTTCTGCAAGACTTTGCGTGTTGTCACTAAGTATGCATTAATCATTGTTTCAATTAACACAAGTGTGGTTTTTGAGAGGCATGCACAATTTTTAAATTTTATTAATTTGTATCAGTTGTCAGATTGTTGACACTTTTGTACCATTTAAAATATAATTTTAATAATTTTGTCACTGAAATTGGAGTGAAGGAAACACTGCCCAAGTTTAAACCCTTAAATTGTTTCCAAGCATTTGCTCACATACTTTATACACACTGTTTGTCTATAACTGTCACAATATTTTATGTATTATCTCTGTGTGCCTTTTGTCTTTCACAAATTCAACTTGCAAAGAAAACCTTATCTGAACTTTGAAAGGCACCCAAGTCAAGGCTGTTATATAAGTGTGATATTACCCAGGAAAATTATATGTTTGTCTAAATAAGCTGTTCCATCATTTCTGTCCTTTTTATTTCACTTATTCTCACATAATATACATGATCAAGACAAGAGGTGGTATTTGAAGTTAGTCAAAACCAACCCACAGCAGATTTCCAACAGAGCAAAGATTTTGAAGAGCAAAAATGAAGGAAGTATTATTTACTTGTCTTATGAAGAAAAAGAAACTTATTAGAATTAATTAATCATCACAGGTAGTCACAAGAAACCTAATCATCATCACTTATCATAACTGCACTTGCACTGTCACTATCTCCATCTGGGGCATTGGTGGATGATCTTCTCTCTTCTTCTTCTTTGGATTTGGATTTTCTCTTTTCCGCATTGGCATCTTTCTTTTCTTTCTGTGCCTTTTTAAAATCTGCAAGGCAAATTTAAAGACTTAAAAGCTTATACAAGGAACGTGAAAACTTCCTGAATCATGTGCACAATACATACTGTCTAAAGATTCACGGAGGGGTTCTATAAATCCTTCAAAATCAGTGTCCTGAAGAGCTAGCAGTACGTCTTGAGCACTGATAGTCTTCTTATTATTTTTTGTCGCCACATTGTTGGAAGCCGAGGTCAGGAAGAGGACAAATATTGAAGCTGCTTTAGCAAGAGCTAGCCTTGCCTCTTTACTGACACTTACTCCATCTGGGAGAGAATCCTTAATGAGCCTCGAAACAACAGCATTAGGGAGATTCAGGTCCTCCACTCTTTCTGCCATTTCCTGAAGAAATAAAAAGAAAATTACTGCGTTAGACAGGGGAAAAGAGAGGGAATCCGACCTCTTGATTGCCTGGATGAGACTGATACAAAAGCTTGTCGCAAAACCTAGTCCATGTTGCACGTCACAGGTCTTAAAATGCGTATAGTGGGTAGACATCTTATTTTCTTGAGGCCCTGAAGCTATCAACGCGTTTAAAATACAACAAAGAAAAACGGCAGAGCAAGCTATTTTAAAGACACTCCTGATATTGCCTGAGATTGCAGAAAGTGAAACTCTTGAGAGGTTAGGTTATACTCACAATGAGTAATTTCATAACTTAACTATACTAACACAGTGTGATGATGATGTTTTTTACAGCCGAACATAATAAGAACACCCAATTTACCTGAATGTACCTGAATTTTATAAAGAAATCTGACGAATGCAATTAAAATTGGCGATTTGTTGACACTGTCACAGATTGCTGTGCTCTGTTGTGTTCCGAAAAAATGGCGCCAAACCCCTCGCGCACAGCAAAGCGGGAAAAATTCAACATTTAAAATAGCTTTTACTGTAAATTGCTTTGAACCTGATTGACCTGAATCGACCTGATAAAAGGGTTTCAGCAGTGCCGTACCGACCAACAGAAAGGTGGGAATCCTGGAAATCCTGCTTGTTACGGCATAGACAATCTTGATTGTCTATGGTTACGGTGCGAGAGGATAGAGGGAGGGAGGGGGGGACGTGCAACAACTAGAAACTTCCCCCCTTTCGAAGAAGCACTGGCTGGGCACTGGGAGCGCTAGCGCTGGGCTCGTTCACCACGTGTTTGTGTTTTCTCAGTTTTCTTTTTCTGTACACTTGCTGCATCGTGTTATCTTTTATTACTATGCCGAAGTCTCGTCGTGAAGTATTAGATGATTTGAAAGAACTGAGAAATGCAGGAAGGAGAAGTCTAGATGTCTTGGAGGGTGAATTCCAAGTAAGTTGTCAAGAAAGAAATAATGTCATTGTCTCAATTTACTTAATTATTGCTTGATTTTGTTCTTAGTCCATTCTGAAATGGTGTAGAGATGTCCTGGACACCATCCAGTCAGAGGACTTTTCACCTTGTGACTTACGTGCTCTTTTCCCCATTCCCAAAGTATCAAAAGAAGCCACAACAAACAATAATGAGTTAAGTTGCACATCACTTGAAGCTGCTCTACCAACGGTAAGTTCAAAAGTTATTTGAAAATAGTGTCGTTCTGTTGCCGATAATTCAATTTAGTGTGATTTCTCTGTGTAAGATGAGAACTTGAATGAAAGTATTAGAACCGACTCAGATTTACAGTCCTCTTCAAGTGATCTTGTCCAACACATGTCCTAGACATGTACTGATGATAAACTCCCTTTCTCCTATCTCTAATCTTTTGCATTTTATTTCTTTCCTCTTCAAGAAGCAGGTGGAAGAGCCACATGGTGTGAATATCAGTGCTTCATCAAGCACAAAGTCAATGTCCTCTTCAGTTGATAATTCAACTGGTAATATTTTTCTTCTTCCTAATTTCATTTTGTTTTTTGGCAGTAAATTTTGAGTGTTAGCTACAATTGTAATGGCTACAAGTTGTAAAATTATTTTCAGATTCAGATCCTGACAAAAAGAGTAAGAAAGTGCCTACTAGATCATCTCAACGAATCAATCGCAACAAGGCTGTCAAGGTGTGTCTAAGTGTCACAAAATTTCCATAGTCCTAAAATAACTTGATCATTTGCTATTCTTTCCAGGAGGACGAGGCAAACTTGCACGAATGTTCTGCATCAAGCTCAAGTTCCGAGGCCTCGTCTTCTGCTTCTGCTCGGGTAAAAGTCAATGTAACTAAGATTAAGCCAGTAAGAATTAAGCCCTCAACACAACTGATCAAGTCTACCACAGCTAAGGTATAGTCTCTTAAGGATTTTGTTCAACACATATTTCAGTTTCTCTTCATTTTATTGCATTTTCTTTGTGAGTTTTTAATTGACTCTCCGTTTTTATTGTGAACTTAGCCTGGACCTGCTTCTAAGAAGCTCTTAAAGGGAACACCAACTTTGTCGGTGAGTATGTGTGTTATTGCTGGCTAACTAATTACTAATATAATTGAATGCTTACTTGATTGTTTCAGGGACTTGGACCAAAGAAGGTTTTGAAAGGAACTCCCTCAATGGCTGTACGTAATGTCTTGTTTAAAGTCTTGAATTTGCATGATCACTTAGACCTAACTTCAACGGTTCTTTGTTTTAGGGGCAGCCAGTAAAGAAGGTTCTGAAAGGAACTCCCTCAATGGCTGTACGTAATGTCTTGTTTAAAGTCTTCAATTTGCATGATCACTCAGACCTAACTTCGACGGTTCTTTGTTTTAGGGGCAGGAGCCAGTAAAGAAGGTTCTGAAAGGAACTCCCTCAATGGCTGTACGTAGTTCTAAAAATTCTTGATTTTGTGCTTACTCTTCAGATTGTAACTATTATGATATTGGACTTGTTATAGGGACCTGGACCTGCTCAAAGTAAGCTTTTGAGAGGAACACCAACATCTTCTGTAAGAGCTACCTGTTATATTACCCTGGGGCAGCTACTGCCTAGAGTATGCATGATCACTCAGACATGATGTAGTTTAGATTTTAATGTTGTTGCATTTTTCAGCGTGATGGACTAGCTTTGAGGAAACTCTTCAATAATACCAAAGAGAAATCCAAGGCAACCACCAATCAAAATCTGTTTAAAGTTGAAGATGGCCCATTGTCAAAATGTGATTATGTACATGAAGTAGCTCAGAAAGGTTTCTCACATCTGTAAGTTCATCATTTTACAGCCACTGCAGTATTATAGGCTCAAATTTGCTTGTACTATTATTTCTTCTTTTTTCTAATTTTCAGAGCTAAACTTAAGGATCTAGTAAATCCTGGAGTTGGTCATGACTCCCTAATCAAACACACAAATGTGGTTGAGGTATGCTTTAATTTCTCAATTTTTATCTTGCGAACTCCAGTATTAAAGCTAAATTCTTACCTATCTATTTCTGTTTGTTAAGGACCCAAGAAAGACATTTGTGATTGCTCCATTTGATGAGAAAAATGCTACATTTGTATTAGATTCCGCTCGTTCATCGGATGTGGCAAATGCTACATTTGTATTAGATTCTGCTCGTTCATCGGATGTGGCAAATGCTACATTTGTATTAGATTCCGCTCGTTCATCCAATGTGGCAAATGCTACATTTGACATTGATCCCTCTGACAAGATACAAAATGCAAAAGAGAAAGTTCTGAAGGGATTAGGAAACTTGTAAGTTTTATCATATCTAACCAAAGTAGTATGATAGTATGATTTTGCTTCCTGTAAATTTTTTCTCTATTTTTCAGAACCACAGATGAGGATCTAGTAAAAACTGGTGGTGTTGCTCATGGCTCAGACAGATCAGTCGTCAAGGTAAATCTACCTTCTTAGCCTTGAATTTACTCTTTAATATTGTCTAACTTGAATTATTTGTATCCTCAAGGATCTAAATGCTACATATGACGTGGCATCTTATGATTTGACGCTAGATCCTGCTGAGCGTCCTCCTCTCCCATCAAAAAATGAAGACGACTATGGCTTGGATGATGTTTGTTCCGATGACTCAAGTGATGATGAGTCAAACCCGAAGAAAGTTGTACCTACATGGGCACAAGGTATGCACTCAAAACAGATGATCATTATGTTTATTAATTTTTTCTCTTTTAAAACTTTTATCCTTTTAAATTGCCTTTTTATGTTTTATTTTCTAGTATCCAGCCGACAGTCATGTTTGAGTATGCAACGATTTGTGTCACAGTCACAAACGTTTGCATTTTTCGGGCCTGCCAAAACACTTGACCTCACCCAGTTATTCAGCACTAGTAACATAGACAAGCGTATGCTGATTCGTCGGTCTAGTGCTGTTTGGCCTTCACCAGACAAGAGCGGACACTAAATGAGTAATGTATGGAGTTTGAATAAGTTGATAAGATTTTCTGATACCTTCTTAAAATAATGTATAAAATAAATATATATAAACTGAACCTTAAGAAGGTGTAATGCTTGGAATTTTTATTAACAAAACTCAGGATATGTACAAAGCCTGATAGAAGCCCACCTACATCCCCGCGAGTTGGAAATTGTGGGCATTACATGCACAGGTACCTTGCAAGAAAGATCAAGTCACCAACTACAATAATTTAAACGGATTGAAATAAATAAACAATGCAGTGCGTACATGGTTAGTGCCATATTAAAGCAAGCAATGAGACAAATAAAAATTCACCATTTGCAGAGAGACTGACAAGAAATTTAATGAGGGTGAAAAGTGCACCAAAAGGCAAGTAAATTATAATAAAGTTAACAAACAATACAATATTAGAATCTTTTGGCACTATGAAAGGCAACATGGCATGAGGTGATATGTACTATAATTGCTCGGTGGCAATCACACTACCTCAGGGCTAAATTTGCAATGATCAACAACTCTAGAAAAAGAAAAAAACTTCATTATGAGCAATTGTCATCATACTGTAATAATACGTTATCAGGTTTCACACATTTAGATATTTGCTACAATCAGAACACAACCATTAGTAGGGTAGGCTTCAATTTAAAAACAAATCAAAATTATTACTTAAATTCAATATTATTAAAATTGTTCCCTATAAATGCAGTTCACAGGGCAATGGTAACACACACAAGAAAAAATAATCCTGTACAGCTAAATCTCTTATTTTGATAGTTTTTTTTTATCACAACGGGATGAATAATTAGATTGTCAGATTGACAAAACACCCTAAACCTGGTTTGAGTTGCAAAAAGCTTTAAAAAGCATAGATCAGCCAAAATCTCTTTCTAATATACAGAAATTTGAGGAAAACAGAATGATGTGCATCCAATGACACACGAGCATCTCTGTCAATGCAAAATCCATTCTGTCCATACCTTTCATATGCCAAGCTCATGTTTTGTTACTCCAGCATGAAATAAGAAATACAGAACGTGAGCTATGTCCCACTTGAGCTCCGATTGGCCCCGACGGCCAACTGAGTTCTGAGGTCGATCCGAGTCCGGTTCGGGGCTCGGTTGAGCTTCTAGGTAGAGCAAAAAGCCGTCGGGGCCCAATCTGGGCAGGGCTCATGTAATGTATGCTGAAATGAAGTTGCAACCATTCAAAATGACAGAAAGGTCGAAAATGCAAGGATTGAAAACCGATTTCTTTTGTAGGGATTATCAATCTTCATTTTAACAATTATGTCTCGAACTTTCTTACACATCACTCCCAACATTCTTGAACAGTAGACAATTCGGATATAGAAGTTAACAGTGGACATTGGAAAGGTAGACAAAGACAAAATGATTGTCCAGATAATTTTTTTACCTCATTTCTAGGGTCTTGTAGGAACAGGAGCTAGGAATGTGAAGAATTTTTTACAGGCTTTAGTACAATATTTCATACTGATTCAAGCTCTCTAACCACAATACATTAAAATTTTTGATCATAGAAAACACTTGTTTACGTTTTGCATGAAAGAATTTTATTGACGTCACCTCAGAGGTGCTAACAGAAAAAAGCCTTAATTCCAGAACATAAGGAAGAGGAAGCGTAGCAAAACCGTTTGGAGGCAATAGTTCATAAAAATCAACAGAGTAAAGACATCTGAGTATACTTGAAACAGTTCTTACTGAACCACTACAAGCAGCATACACATAAATATATATTTCAGTCTAAACAAGGCACTGAACAATCTAATCAACAGGGCTCGTATATTTAAAATGCACTTTTACAATGAAAATAATAAATCAATTTATCTGTAAAAGAACTTCAAATAATACAGGAATTATCTTTAAAACATTAGTAATACAAATTTATAAAATGGCTAAGGCACAAGCTCAGCACAAGATAAAAATAATAAAACAACAATAATGACTTAACAATAGGTGATCAATTCTCAAACATTGCAATATTTTCATTATTTGAAGGGAGGGGACTTCTTCCCTAGAATGGCATGATAGTTAAGGAAATGCAGGTAATAACAAATGTGCTCATTGCACTACATTGTATTGAACTCAAAAACATCACGGTGCATGAACAATGTACACTTAATTTCGAGGAGACTGGCCCCAGCACAAAACTTCTACTCTAATCTAAAAACATCCAAATACATAATCAGCCAACGGCAGCATTATTTCATTTAAAATTCACAAGTGAGCAATAGCAAATTTTCAATAAAATACAGCATACGTATATATACATATAAAGATATATAATTATTTACAAATTTACAGGAAAATGAAATTATCAAACAACAACACTAGCTTTTATGCAGTTATGAAATGGAAATACTATTGTATAACAAGACACAATTGTACCCTCTCATGGCAACACCATCTTCAATATTGCCTCCATTTGTGATATTGTCAGCTCCAAGGCACTTCTCTGACTCATTTGAGTCTATCACAGAGACTACTCTATGGCTCATCTCTTCACTTAAAATTCATAAGTAGACACGTAGCTGCCCACTCAAAGGCAGCTACTGAGATCATGTCAAATGGAACAAACACTATTGAAATGTCAGTTTCCACCAGACACTTGCTGCAACACCTTGACAATGATGATACTTCAAACCTCATTAGAAAAGAAAATCAATTATTTTCTCCTGTAATACTGTCAGTCAACCACAGTTAAAAGTACAATTTCCCCCCAAAAAATTTATAGATTTAATAAAATAGGTTTAGTTTTCAATTTACTGGGTTAGCTTGAAGTAATAGTAATAAACCACACACACACACAACATCTCGAAGCAAATAAATTATCAACACCAATCTGCCATGTACGTAAAGTCACGAAATAGGTTTTGCTCTTCATCTGTCAAGGGACGAGGTTCTTTGGGAGGAGTCAGTTGGGGCTTTTCTGAAGTAAACTCTTCATCAAAGTTACTCACATCTTCTGAACACGCCTGTAGAAAAAGGAACAATTTAAATAAAGAAAGTAGCCTGATAAGCTGAAGTGCGACAATTCGATACTTACTACAGTAGGAACAAAAGGTGGCTTCACTCTACGTAGCAACAAGTCATCCCAAGCAATGTGGCGGAAAAAGGCTTGTTTTTTAACATCCTCAGCATCTCTTTCACTAGAACCTAATCGGCGTTCTGGGTTCTTACGCAGTAGCTGTTGATAATTGAGAAACAGAGAATTAATTGTTGCAAGTGGAACACCAATAATGTTTTCTAAATGGAATATCAATGGTAAAACTCACTCTTCTCATAATTGCAATGGATTCAAGAGACAAGAAACGAGGGTAACGAACTTCATCGTTCACAATTGAATCAAACACTTCCTCTTCATCATCTCCAGGGAAAGGTGACTATAAAATACAAAGTGCAGAAAATATTGAAGATAGAGTAATAAATGGACAGTAATTTTAGGTTTGAGCAGTACCACTCACCTCTCCAACAAGCATTTCGAAGATAAGAACTCCCAGGCCCCACCAGTCAACAGCACGAGTGTAAGAAGTTTCAGTGAGGACTTCTGGAGCTAAAAATTCTGGAGTACCACAGAAAGTTCCAGTGCGATCTCCAAATCCCATACCTTCCTTACATAAACCAAAGTCTGCTATTTTTACATATCCTTCCGTATCCAGGAGGAGGTTATCCAGCTTCAAATCACTAAAACAAAAAAAAATAATGAGAATTTTAAACGCATACACCAATTATAATGTTTCCAGACATCATGATTGTTCATACCGATAAATAATTTTGCTTTCATGAAGATACTGTAGACCCAATACGACACAAGCTGCATAAAAAATGGCACGAGGTTCGGAGAAAACATCAGCATGGATGTGCATCATCAAATCTCCTCCAGCAGCATATTCCATGACGAAGCAAACATGAGCCTGTAAGATTCAGGATCCGGTTGTAGATTATCTGACATTCATCACAGTGCTTAAAGCTAGCAGTAATCTTGTGGCATAGCATATGCAGGAATATAACTTACTTCAGTCTGGAAACAAGCAAATAAATTTACAAGGAATGGATGACGCATTTGATTTGCAACTTCAAAGATTCTTTTCTCTGACAGGAGAGATTCCACTTCATCACGAGCAATTATATCACCTTTCTTCAAAGCTTTAATGGCGAAGTACTCCCCAGTATTACGGTACTGAGAGAGAATTACCTGTAATGAGAAGCAAGAAAGAGAAATTCGTCAGTAGATAGGAAAACTTAATCAATGTGTGAAAAAAAGTAATTTAAATCTTACTTTTCCGAAGTGGCCACGACCCAAAACACTCAAAAGTCGGAAGTTCTCCAATGACATTCCAGTAAACTGTGAATGCCTCCTAGATTCATAGGCACTGTCCCGATATTCTAGGCCTCTAGCAGCGGGGCGCCTCGCTACTTCTGGCTCATCATACACAATCTGAAAGGGCAGTTCATAAGAAACATTTAAAGACTTGTGTTCACAATAAAGAGCAGAATACTCATGAGCTCCACAAAAGACAAAACACCACGTAAAGCATTAGTGTATCCAGCGATGCTAGTCACTTCATTCCATCACAGTCACTTCCCTATTTGTCCATTTTAATTTTACAGCTTATCCAATCATGCACAGAGAGGCACCTTAACATTTCCACAATACGCAGACACTAAAGACTGAAGAGCGGGTTGAAACTCCAGCAGCACCGGACCACACAGAAAAACATTCACTTAAAGAAAGCAACTAAATAAAACAGACAACAACGGGTAAAGCTGCAAATGACCAACAGTCGGGAAAACAACAACAAAAAACACAACATAATCCCAAAAGAAATGAATGCAAGGAAACAAGACAAAGCTGACAGCAGAAAGGGGGATGGGGATGGGAATTACTGAAACACAATAGTAGACCTCAAAACAATTATGAAAATAAAAATAACTAGAAGAGAATTTTAAAGAGCCTGAAAGAACAAACTATAAGCACGCAGCCAAATACTAATAGAATAGTGGTTGCTGACATTTATATTTATTTTTAAGTTTTAAACTATTAACAACTATTATGAACCAAGATGAGGGAGATGAAATCAACAAAAGAACATAACTGAATTTCCATGCTCCCGCTGATCAAAATTAATTACATACATGTACATGCGATCTGGAAGCCATGCTACAAGGAAAGTTGCTCAACACAATACTCTGCTAGCACATTTCAAGGTACCTCATCCTGGGGGAACTCTACGACCGGTTGGGGTGAAGGAGAGCGCTGTTGACTTGAATGAGAGGGTTGTTGCTGATCAGGGCCAGGAATCGATAGTGGCCGTATAAGAGGTCCACTAAGGCGACGATGAAGTTGATCAGGAGACCCCTCCTGATGCAGAAAGTCAAACTCCCGAAGTGCACTCTGCAACTATAAACAGGTGCAGCTATCGTATCTATTGCTCAAGATGGTGCATTGGTACTAAACAGTAACTGCTCTTCAAAATACTGATGGGAATGAAATACAAAGGAAAGCATGGAAATTGCAGACAAGAGGGGGAAACAGAGTCGTATGAAAGAAAAATAGAGCCAGAACACCATTGAAGAAACCTATTCTGAAATGAAAGATGAAATAAAGATAAAGACCAATAAAACGTTGTTCCTGTGAAAGGATAAGTCAAAACACTGCCTTCACTAATCCGTATTTCAAACACAAGCTGTTGACCTACAAAGGATATTTTAAAACCAGATGTCTGAGTGCATTCAAAACAAAAGCACAAAGGCAAACAGCACAATGCATACAGAACACAAGTCCAATTCCCCCACAAATAGTATGAGAAAAGTATTTACCTCAGGATCAAGCCTTGGCGGTGGTGGCGGAGGTGGGGTGGGAAGTGGTGAAGTCCGTTTCTTGTGAGCCATACTAGATGGAAGGAACTGGTTGGAGGCAACGTCGGGCGGGAGGGGAGGTAGGACCGCCACTCCAAGACCAAGGGGACGAGCACCAGAGAGCCCCGCCGTCTGGAGGTCGGGAGCCTCTCCAGGTGCTTCTGCCTTGTCCTCCACGAGAGTAGCATCAAGCGGCTCAATGCCTGCACAGATCAAGCATTCTTTTATCAACCATTGCAAACTACAATAGTCCTTCATGTGCATATCATTTTTGAAATTTAAGTTAGGTATCAATTAATTCAAATTTTCTTAAGAAATAAAAGCAAATGTCCACCATTTAAATGTCTATTTCCATTTTCTCCAAGCTTCAGTTGTCGGGCAGACCGACCTGATGGAGGGCTTTCAGACGCAGAGCGAGAATTTCCATGATTGTTGTTGTTCTGGATAGATGGAGAAGATCGCTTCAACAAGCGGCCCCAGGTTGCAACATTGATGTTCATTTGAGTTGCTCTAGGGAAGTTTTTAACTTGTTGCTTGAAAATCTTCCTCTGTCGACGAAGTTTAGGCTTTCGTGAAATCATAGGATTCAGGAATTTAATCTGAAAACACAAAAAAAGAATGTAAAAAGAAGTTTCTCTTTATAAAAATAATGTAAAATAAAAAAGTGCAACAAACTCATTACCTCTGCAAAGAGAAGACCCTGAGGCTCTAACTGCAAAGCCATACCATGGCGTATATCATCTATGAACTCCTCCAGCCGTAAGAACTTAATAGCACAGAGAGAACGCCAATCTCGCCAGTAAATACCAACTTCAAGCTCTCTGGACTTGTCCAGATCAATGGAAAATCTGCCAATGAAAAATAAAAAATATTGACCAAACAAGAACATAACAAAGTTTAGTTTTTATTTGCTGATCTAAACAGCTGCAATTTGCCATTAAATTCAAACAAACCTCTGGTCCCAGGCCTGTTGTGAACAAGGACGCCAATTCGTTTGAGCCACAGTTTGATTATCGAGCTTTATCACAGCCATAATCTCATCTGAAGAGAAAATAATCATTGCAGATTTTAGTACGTAACTGGTACTTTGATATGAAAGGACAGAAAACACTGAGAGAACTTACTGCTGGTCTCATCTTTTATACTGTATGATTTACTAGAGCTTCGGCCTGTGACTCCTTTTACAAAAGATCTTAAATCACCACTAGGACTTGACGTAGAATCTTTGTCTCTTCTGGATCTTCCAGGAACCTCCTCCAAGAGATCTTGGCAACCCATTAACCGAACCTTAAATCAGAAGATTGCAACAATGTTATCTACCACGATTCGCATGAAAACTCTAAAGAGTTCAGAAGTTTAAAGCCTCTACATACTTCTAATTTTCCAGTGACAAATGCAGCTCTACTCAAAGACTGAGACCTTGTGCCCGTACTTTGATGTTGAGGCTTATCAAGCATATTCCCATCACGGAAAGGCTGAAGACTAGTGTATGTTACAGGTACTGGGCTAGCTGCCTGAGCATTTTGGAGTTCCCTTTTGAGTTGAGCAGCAGCAGGAGAATCTGGCGGCAATTCAGCACGTCGCATTTCCAGGGATTTTCTCAGAAGATCCAGCTTCCGACTTGATTCTGATAAACTTGCTTGTGCCTGAAATCAAAAGAGTATGACAATAATGAAGGAAACCGCATGGGGAGATAAGTAAAAAAATACACTATTTAGGGGAGAGAGGAAACTCACCCTCTTTCCCACTAGAATTATTGCTTGGATGGTCTAAAGGGACTCCCTTGTACTCCACTACATAATAATAGCAGCAGCACCATGACATTAGAAAAAGAAGTTCCACACACACACACACTTCATACTTGGTTCCATTCTAACAGAGAAATATAAGAACGTATGCAACCGGTATAAATCGGCTAAAAACACACAGCAGACTACACATACAACTCGAAAATATAAAAGGATTATTCTGACAAAAGCGGAAAAAAAACTAGATAAAACCAGTGGTCGAGCAAAGACAAACATTGGCGGCGTTGAAATGGAAACAAGGTGGGCATGAGGGACCGGGCACCGCGAGGGGACCGGCATCCCCAGCAGCTACAGAGAAACACGCAATGCGCAACACGCAAAACGGCGGAAGCAAGTCATCAAGTCACACGGGCGTGCCGAGGTCCAGGTCACTGAGGCCGCCTCCGCCTCCGCCAACCAGACCGCGGGGACCCGCAACGGGGCCGCCTGGGCCGCCACGGCGATGGGGCGGGGGGCCGGCGCCCAGCACCCCGGGCCGCGGCTCGGGCGGCATGGACAGCCCCCGGCCCGGCGGGCCTGGCAGGCCAGGGCGACACACAGAGGACGACGCCGCCGACCCCACCAAGCCCCACCAGTCCCCGTCCATGGAGCGCGCGCGGCCCTGGGCGCGAGCTTGCGCCTGGGCGCGGTAGTAGTGCGCGCAGCTGTCGCAAGAGCACTCGGGGTTCTTGGCGGGGCCCACGTGGTGGCCGGGGCGCCTCAGGCCCAGCACCGCGCCGAAGCGGGAGGCCGTCTGCTGCGTGCCGCAGAAGGGCGCGAAGGCGCTGGCAGGCAGCTTGCCCGGCAGACTGCCCCCGCCCCCGCCCTGCGCCGCGAACGGGCCGGCGCTCGTGAGCCTGGAGAACGCCGACAAGGGCTCGGGTCCGGCCACGTCCGCGCGGGGGAGGGCTAGCGGCGTGGCGGGGGTCGTCTTGACGACGGGCACGTCCACGGGTTTGGAGGCTGGGCCTCGGGGAGTCACGGCGTCGGTGGCGGGAGGGGCGACGGGGGCGCGGCGGACGGTCGCGTCCCTCTTCAAGGTGCCGTAGCCGCCACTCGCCACGCTCGCCACGCTCGCCGCACTGGCGGGCCGCGAGCGTGACTGCGACGAGGCGGCCGACGAGTGGCGGCCAAAGCTCCAGGCCATCTCACTGCCAGAGCACGAGTCCGAGTCCGTCGTCGTGGTGTCCAGCTGCTGCACGTCCAGCACGCCGGGGTGCTCGTCGAGGAAATGCTGGAAACGCTGCACGCGCTGCTCCTGCTGGACGCGTCGCCTCTCCAGCCGCTCGTCGCGCGGACAGCGCCACGTCTTGTTGTTGTCCACCGCCCAGTGCTTCTCCTTCTCCAGGATGCGCGCGCGGTCCACGGAGTCGGCGTAGTCGAAGCTGTCGCTCTGCGTCACGCTGCCCGTGATGCTCAGCGTGGCCAGGCTCTGCAGGCTCTGCAGGCTCTGGAGGCTCTGCAAGCTCTGCAGACTGCGCTCCGTGTTGGTGCGCGACGGGTACAGCGAGCTGAAGCTCGAGTCCCTGCTGCTGGCCGCTCGGCTGGCCGCGGCCACGGCCTGGGCGTAGGCGGGCAGCGCGTCGTCGGGCGTGTAGCGGCAACTCTGCGCTCGCCGCGGCGCGCACGGCAGCATGGCGTGCGGCAGGGCGTCGCGGTGGCGGCGGGCATGCACCACGCGCACGCCGTCCGACTCGAACACCGTCTGTGGCGACGCGTCCGAGTCCAGCTCGTCGTTCGACGAGCTGGCGTCGCCGTCGGCGTCCTCGTCCGACCCCGTGCAGTAGACGTCGATGTGCACGGTGCGCGGCCGCACGGGCCGCTGCTGCTGCGGAACCTCGGGCGCGGCGGCCTGCTGGTCCTGCTTCACCTGCTGGGCGAGCTGCTGGGCGAGCTGCTGGGGCCGCGGTGGGGTGGCGGGGCGCGGCTCGGCGCGCGGCCACCGCGGCGGCGGCGGCACCCTGGGCGTCCATCCGCAAGCCTGCCACAACGCAGGGGTCACGGACGAGTCAGTGGCTGCGCTACGGCGCCCCGACGCCTAGTGTCTCATCACCGCCACACTGCCTTTGCTCCCGGGCCCGCGACAGGGAAGGGGAGAACCAAGAGAAAATATCGGTGACTCGCCTCCTCGAGGTACAGCCCCAAACATCCCCCGACCGAGGCGAATACAAGCAGCGACGGCTGCATAATTTCAGTGGGGCGATGAAAGCTCCACCTCCGCGGCCGCAGCGTGGCGTGGGTGGCGCGCGGCGGGGCGCTTCGTGAAGAGAAGGGGGGAGAGGCGGCGGCTGGCCGGGGCCCAAGGCGCCGCGGTGCAAGCCGTCGCGCGCGGCATGCACGCACCCTCTTCGGCACGATTGTACGAGGAACAGGTGTCCACGCTGCCGCCGCTGCCGCCCTCGACCTGCGTCTGCGTCCTCAGAACGGCGTGAGGCCGAAGAGGCAACCCGCGGGCCGTTTGGCACCGCTGCCGAAATACCACGAAATACCGACCATGACGACAACGCCCCAACTTTGGCGGAAAACTCGAGCCGAGATACGCGACGCGGAAGTGCGCCGTGCGGCGTGCGGGGTGGGCCGTGCGGGGGGCCGTCCCGAAAATAGAAAATGACACGACCGTCACACTGACGGCCGCCCCCTTGGCGAATCCCAGTCAAAGAGGACATTGCCATTTCACGGGGGCGGGGCGGAAAGCGCGCGTTTGACAGGCTCGTCATCGCGACGGTCAAGGCCTTCAAGGGCACCGGGACGTGCGTCACGTCACGCCGCGCGATGGGCTGCGGAGCGTGGCAGTGGCCGGGAGCAAGGGCAGTGGGCAGTGGGGCCGGCGGGTGGCGGCGCTGCGCACCTGGTCCGTGTCGGTGTCGGTGCAGGTGCTGGCGGCCAGGGTGGCCGGGAGGGTGCGGTGGCGCCGCGCGGTGTACGGCAGCCCCCTGGCGCCGCGCGGCGCCCCCAGCGGCCCCTGCGCGCTGGAGCAGTCCGAAGGCGGGGCGCTGTCCTCCGAGGCGTGCGTCTGCGAGGCCGCGTCGCGCACCGTCCGCAGCGCCGTCGACGGGCACGCCCAGGACGGCGACGCCTCCACTGGCGGCGGCGGGAGCACTGCCGGCGGCGCTGCGGGCGCAGCCTCCAGGGGCGGGCACGGCACTGTGCACAGCGTGATGCTGCAGGTGGTCTTGCAGCGCCGCCCGTAGGCGGGAGCTTGACGGCGCGCGGACGGCGCGGGGGTGGGCGCGTGCGAGGCGGCCGCAGACAGCTCGCTGTTGTAGCCAGAGTCCTGGCGGCCGTGGAAGGCGTTGGCGACGACGGCCCCGCAGCCCGGGGGCGGCGACGTCGTGAACAGGATACTGCCCCGCTGGAAGCCGTACGCGGGGTGCGGCTGGCACAGCGGGTTGCTGGCCTGCAGGCCCTGCAGGGGCGGCGTCGACGGGGGCGCGGCTACACTGAAGGGCCGCCACGAGCACTCGAGGCGCACGCCATCTGCCCCGGACATTCCCGACAGCGGCGGCATGCTGCAGCCGCGGGACGACGACGATGACGACGACGACGGCGGCGCGGCCGGGCCGATAGTCAGCTGGGCGTGCACCGCCCACTCCTGAGTCAGCGGCATGGTGGCATGACACGACGCGACGCGCGGCGGACACGGTGACACACGGTGACACGAGGCCAGTCGGAGCACGGGGCGACGCGAGGCGAGGCGAGCCTCAGCACCAGCTGTGCGAATCGGCTACTACTGGCGGCACAATCCTAGATTGCCCCAGCGGCCTTTCGCCCCCACCCCCTCCGACGCGCAGGGGCGTGCAGGGGCGTGCTGGGCGCGGGCCAGCCGGACCACGGCGGCGAGGCCCACGGTCTGGGCTGGGCCAGCGGCTGGGCTATTTGCGTATTCCCCTCCCCCTTCGGTCCTTCGGTGCGATAGACGCAAGTTCCTGCGCCGCGTCCTGACCGTCCTCCTCCCCGATACACGCACGCACGCGCCGCCCGACGTGCGGCACGGCGCCGTGCGCGACGGCCGACGGCGCGGTCTTTCTGGAGCGGCACGCGGCACGCACGCACGCCACCCCTCCAACAGGTATGTGGGGCGGCATGCGCGCGAAGGGCGTGCGGGGGGTGTGGCGGCGCGGCGGCGGCGCGGCGCCTGGCGACTCGAGCCAACGGGGGCTGCGGCGGGGCTGCGGCGGGGCGGGGCAAAGTGGGGCTCGGCGCGCATCGCTCGCGTGATAGCAGGAGCGTCCCGCTACCGGGCCGCACGCCCCGGCGCACGCGGCGCGAGGCCGGCGCCAGTGCCCGCATCCTCGCCGCCAAGCCGCGCCAAACAAGACGGACGGCCAAGTGGCCGGCAGCCTTTTACACCAAGTCTTCCCGCGCGCCACGGCCTCTGGGGCCTCCAGGGTCGAGTTTCGGACGGCCAGGTTAATTGGAGTGGTGGGAACGAGCAGGGGTCGGCAAACCTCGCCGCAGCCGACGAGCACGGGGAAAGGAGGGGGCGAAGACGACGACGACGACAACACACACCCAGCGACGATGACGGCGACCACGCAAATTTTACCAGCAGAGAGAATGCAAAACGACGATGACACGCTAAGAGCGGGCAGCGCGGGCAGGCCACGGAAGACAATGCCTAGCACCGACGTGAGAACAGGCCGCGCACGAAGAGGACCATCAAGCCGCCGCGACGGCATGCAAACCCATCGAAGAGCAAGCGTTTCAACAACAGCAACCAGGGGCCGGATTTTAAACAATCCAGCGCGACGTCGCTCTCCGGGGCAAACTCTCGCCGAGCCTCGCCGAGACCCCCAAGTCGCAGCGTTTCGTTCCAGGCGTCCACGCCCTGCAGCGCCACGGAGCCTCTACGGCCGGCCGGCCGACCGGCGTTAAGTGGCTGCGACCATACATGGCCGCGCAGACAAAGACAGGAGCCGCGGTGGGTGTTGCTGGCCTGCTGGTCTGCTGGCTTGCCGGCTTGCTCAGCCAATTAATCAACATTTCTCAGCGCGGAAATCTGCCAGGGCGCCATGACAGGGCCCTCCGTCATCGCACGACGGCTCGGCAACTTTTTCCTCAGTTACACGGTCTCTCTCTCACACACACACGCATACACACGCTTGTCATGGTGCTGGCTGCTATGCATTTAATACCCTCCCTTCCTTACGCACGAGCGTGCGCGGCCACGCGGCGAGTACTCACCTCCTGCAGGGCGCGCTTGTCGGTCACCTTGGTGCTCTGCTGCAGCAGCCGGATCACGTTCTTGGCGCCCTCCACGACGGCCGCCTCGATGCGCAGGCGGTGCCGGAGCTCCTCGACGCGCTCCTCCAGCGGCAGCTCCAGGTTCGACTCGTAGGTGCGGCTCTCCAGCGCTGTGGCGGGAAAGACAAACTGTCAAGACCACCGAGCACGGAACGAGTGAAGAGGGGAAAGGAGTGAATGCGACATTTCGTTTACATTTCGCCACCATAGCGAGCCACAGTGCAGAAATGACGCAAACGAAGCTAATCACCAACGTAAAAGAATAAGGGCCCCACCAATGCCCTTTATTGCTATTAGTTTAGTGAGGCTAGTTGCTCTAACGGGTGAACCAAGACGTGCATTCCTTGAAACCAAACCACCCGAGTGGGTCATCCCTGCGGCGCTGTTGGAGGGGCGGGGAGGGCAAGGGAGATGCCCACACGTCCGGGTCACCCAGCCACCCAGCCCTGCCGGGGCCCTGCTCGCCAACCTGTCGCCGGCCGAGCAATTGGCAACCTGGACCGGAACCTTGACCGGGGAGCGGAGCGGGTCTGGCCGGGTCTGCCCATGGCCTGCCCGCCCGCCATGCAGCCGTGCAGCGCAGCTCGGCGCACTCGTCCCCATGAATAAACGTGCTGGCCGACCGGAGCCCTAAACAGGTGGAAAAGGGGGGGGGGGCAACGGGGCTGGACTGCTGTTGGACTAGGTCCCGGCGCCGAGGTCAGCCCGAGCCCCCACACACGCGGGGGGAGGGGGCGGGACGGATAGGCGCGGACTGCGCGCGGACGGACCAGTCGTCTCACCTGCCGGCCGCGACGCCGACATCTTGAGGGGGCGGCGGTACGGCAGCAGCATCGTGACACTCACTCACGCTCGCGCGCGCTGTCTCTCGCGAACACGGCACGCACGCACGTCGCTCCCGCGCCGGTTTTCGCGCGGCGAGGCAAAGCCAGGCAAAGACAAGCAAAGCGAGCCGTCGCCAAGCCGGGGCCGGGCCCAACAGACGAACAGAACAGACCACGGCGCGAAGCGCGGCCAGTGCCGATGCGTCGCGCAGCGTCGCGGCGCCCAGCGACGCCCGCCACGCCACGCCGCACCGTGTTCGAAAACGGGGGCCAGCCCCGCATCGCCCCGCCCCCCAATGGCGCTATTAAAAGGCGCCGACCCGACCCCGGCGCGACCCGCCCCACCTCTCGCGCCGTTCAAGAAACGCAGTGCGGCCGGTGTGCGGACGCAGTGGCGGGGACAACTCTCGACGTGTTTCACTTTGCTCCATTCCGCGCGGCGCGTCGCCGTGGTCGCGGACTCTAGTCGCGGCCAGCCGCCCCCGCCACGCCGCGACGCCGCCTCGCTCGGCCACTCGGCCGGCATCCTGGCGCGCCACGCCGCCACGCGTGGGGTCTCGCCGGGGGAGGGCGCCACCGTCCTGCCTCGGGCGAGGCGATACTCACACTTGGGGTGGTCGCCATTGCTCGGGGTATCGGCGCGGTACGCCTGGGGCTGCTGCTTCTTGAGCTTGTCGGTGCGCATGCGCAGGAACTCGATCTTGACCTTCGAGTCCTGCAGCATCTGCTGCGCCTCGGCCAGCAGCTTCTTGTCGCGCGAGTGCCCGCTGCGCGACGTCAGGCTCTGGATCATGTTCTCGGCGCCCTGCTTCACCTGCAACAGGAGGAATACGGCTTCAGTTTCGGGGAGGGAGGCCGAGGACCGCGCCCACAGACGAGCATTCCGGTCAGCCTTGACCTGCGGCAACCCCGGGGGCCGTGGACCTGGAGAGGCTACAGTGGGCCCGCTTTCGACACCTGGGACCCACGCCCCGCCGCCTCAAGTTCACTGCCGCCGAGGGGGCGTGGCGAGGCGCCTACAAAGACCCATCCTGAGTCCTGACGCCAGCACGCCAGCGCCGCGGTGCCTCCGGCCGCCACCGTCACGGAGACACGCGCCGAGGCGCGGCAGTAGGCCAGCCACGGCGCGGCGGCACGCCGTCGGGGACACTCGGCTACACTTCCAGACGCCCACCTTGAGCTCGATGTTGAGCTGCTTCTCCAGCGAGATGAGGCGCTGGTCACCGCTGTACATGCCGTCCTCCGGGTTGGGCGTCGACGCCTGCCCGGCCGCCGGCGACGCCACGGCATCTGCAACAGACAAAAAGAAGCGTGTCAGAGGGTCAGAGATCACAGTGCCCTTCCCAGGCGTGTCGCTCTGTCTCTCTCGCACCCCTTATAACGTGCGACCGGGACAGAGCGGCCAAACGGCCCTTCGGCATCGCTGGGCCGGCGCGTCGCGTGCGGAGGAAGGGGCAGGTGCGCGGCGTGCGCGGCGTCGACACCAAGGCGCACATCCGGAATGGAGTCCCATCAGTGGAATGCAGCACTGAGTCAAAGACTGAGCGCGCGTGTGTGTGAGCGTTAGAGCAGCGTGTGTAGGTGTGTGTGTGTGTGAGTGCTTGCGAGTCCGCGGTGGGACGCGTCTGCCGCTTCCTCCGCTCCGTCGGCCCGGAAACAGAAACAGCCGGCGGCCAACGCCCCTGCCCATTTTTTTTTTCCAGCCGGCGGTGCTCTTCCTCATCCTCGCCCCGCCGTCGCGGTGCATCGCCCCGTTGCGCGTTGCGTTGCGCGGGCCTCGCGCGTGTGGCGCGTCCACTGGCAAGTCCACTGCACCGGCAGGCTGCAGAGGAGAGGGACGGCGAGACGAGTGCGTGTCAAGCCAAGCGAAACGGAACCCTCCGAAAAGGCGGCAACACGGACCGCCCGCCCCGCCCCGCCTCGTTGCGTCAGCTGATGCAGCGGCCGCGTCGCGCGACGGAAGAGCGGTGTTCCCGGTGGCCGCCACGACGTGCAACGAGGTGCACGAGGCACCGAGGCAGGGCGTCGATGCGCGCCGGACGAGCAGTCAGCCCGCCAGTGTAGTGGGGAAGGCCAGCGCAGGACGGGCGGGCGCTGCCTGGCTGCCTTGCGCGGTTGGCACCGCCACCGCCGGTCAAAGGGTCAATGTCGCGGCGGGCGGACGCGGACGGGCAGAGGCGCGCTGTGGAGGCCGCGGAGAGGCAGGCCGAGCAGGCAGGCCGGCCGGTCCAACGAGCCCGGCCGCTTCCATTCCCAACCACGAGGGGGCGGCGCGGCCCAGCACAGCGGAGCTCAGCCATACTCGCTCACAATTCGGCCTTCCGGAGCGACGGGTTTCGCAAGGCGGGGCTGGCGGGCCGGGGGAGAGCTTCCCCGCGGCCGTGTCGCCGTGTCGTTCAACTCGCGTGACGCCCACAACGCTGCCATTCAGTCACCAGAACACAAGCAGCCATCCGCCATTATCATAAAAAGACGAGCCACGTTCCCCTCGCGGCCTCTCGGTTCGCGTTCCGTTCGCCTCGCCGGTCTCGTCTCTTCCTCGCCGTGCCGCCACAAAGCAAGGGAACACGCGTCCGCCAGGTTCGTGGGGCGTGGCGCGGCGTGGCGGTGAGCCTACCGTCCCCGTCTCTCTCCCACTCGACGAGCGCCCCGTACCCTAGGTGCGCGCCACGGGTAGCCGTAGGCATCCCCTGCCGCCAGGACGGCCAGGGCGGCCACCCCGGCGGACGGACACACGCCTTTCCGCGAGCCTCTCTGCGCCAAGCAAGCCCGGCGCAAGCGGGAAGTGGAGGGCTTCCTAATTCAATTTCCGCGCCGTCGACCAGACAGGAGTAGACAGAAGCACCCCCCCCCCCCCCTCAAATGCCCCCCTGCTCCTGCCGGGTGGGCCGGGCGGGCCTGCCGGCGTGCGTTGCGCAACGGGGACAAAGAAAGGAAGGAAGCGTGGAAGGTCCCGCAGGTCCCGCTCAACTAGGTCTGGCGGCCAATTGCGCGTAATCGACTGGGCCTCGGGCGCGGCGCGGGCGGGGCGCGGCGAGGCGGTGCGGGTCAGTGACGACAGCGATGGAATCTCCGCCGCGGCGAGGCCCGGACAGCGCCGGGGACACAGACGGCGGCTTGTTAGAAGAAGACAAATTGCTTCATCACGACGGACAGACGCGGCCCACGGCGGCGAGGTGCTATGGCGGACCTGCTGCGCGAACCTCCCCGCGACGCCGGGAACACCGTCCGCCACCGGCGCGGATCCTCGCCAAGACAAAGCACCTCGGCGTCGCGCCCGGACGCGCCGATCGGCGGGGACCTGACGCAACGCCCATTAATCGCAATGCTTGCCGGCAAGGCCCAGCCGAGGGCCGAGCAAGCCCGCCGCGTTTCAATGATCTGGCGCGCAGTGCGGCGACCTGGATCGGCCGGCATCGGGTCGCGGCCGTTTTCACTTTCAGGAGCAAGACGTCGCTCGTCGCGTCGCAAGCCAATCATGACAAGAAAGAGTCACGGTGCAGCGCGGCAGCGCGGCGCAGCAAACAGTGAGTCCCGTCCCGCCGCGGCCACACCGCCACTCCACTTCCCCTTTCCAGGATCCAGCCTCACTCACTTTCGCTCGCCGGCTTTGGGCCTCGCGGCCTGCCCGGCCCGGCCCGGCCCGCAGCGTCGCCGCGTCGCTCTGTCCCTGTCGCACTCACGGGCCGCCCCGTGGAGGTGCGAGAGAGGCCGCGCGACGGGGCGACTCTCCGGAACCGCTGGTCAGGCCCGTCAGGCCGTCAGGCCGGGACGCTGCTGCACTGCAGGAGGCTGCGGTGCGGACCCCGGCGGCGGCGGCCGACCGCAGCCCGAGCGAGGATCGTTGACGCAAGCACAGACAGCTCTTACCCGCACCGCCATGGCACCGGCGCGCACCGCCCGGCAGCAAACCGGACGAAAACGGCCACCAAAGACGGGAAAAGCACCGCACCGCCATGGCAGGCAGCGCCATGGCACCGCCGCGGCCGGGCAGTGATGACGCACGGAAAAAACGGAGCCAGACTCGGACTCGCGCGGACCTGGGTCACGTTGCAGCGGCAATCCACTGGGGTGGCCGAGCCAAAACGTTTGTCCGTCCCTGTCGAAACTTACTTTCATTCAGGCAAATGTCAGACCGTCTTATTTCCTTCCCCAAAGCAACCAAGTTTGAGACGGACCATTACACTAAATGCCCCAGAAAACAACACCCAGCCTAAACGACGACGTTTTCGGGCGGCTCAGACGGATGGATGGCTAGCTTAGCGTAGCTTAGCGCACGGGCCTGCTGTGCCATTAATAGCGAAATCCGTGCCAGTCGGGCAGAGACTGACTAAAGCCCAGACAGACACACACAGTCTCGCACAGTCCCGGCCCCAAAACACTTGTCACCACACTGGCCTGCTTCGCCGGCTTGGCGTGCCCCGCCTGCTCCACTTGCGCGCTGCAGGACTTCCCCGAGCGCAGCAGCGCGCCCATTAGCACGCACACTGCCAGTGGGCTAGGCCGGCCAGGCCGCTTCCCACCGGCAGAGCAGCGGCAGGGACGGGCAGGGACCCGCAGGGCCGTGCATGGAGACAAGGAACCTGTAAGGTGAGCGACCGGTCTGCCCGGCTGGGGCCGGCTGGGGCTCAACCCGGCCCGGGGCGGGCCGCGGGTCAGACAGTGTCCGCCAGACAGTGTCTACCGCGGGGCGGACAGCGGGTGCGAGAGAGACAGAGCGACCAAACCCGGGGCTGCCAGACGGGCCAGCGTCGCCAGCGACACGCGGCGTTTGGCGGTCCAGCCGTTCGTATGCGTCACCAGGGCGGCCCAGAGTCGACAGTCGACGCTCCCGAATCTGCGTTCGGGGACAGCCTGCCACTAGGGCCAGGCCAGCCCGGCCGGCCAGCAGGCTGCTTTCCAACGCCCTGCCTCTCTCTCTCGTGCTCGCAAGGGTGCGAGAGAGACAGAGCGACGAAAGCCCGGAATCGGTCGGCAGGACCGCCTGCGCCGCGTGCAGCGTGCACCGACGGGCCGCAGGGCCGGGCCTCGCTCCTAATTGGCCGCAGGGCGCCCAGCTGTCGCCGTCGCCGTCGCTCATCGTTCCGCTGCACTGTCGCTCTCTCCGTCGCTCCAGATTCCCCGCGGCGGCCGCGCGGGGCGCACCGCGTCGCACCGCGTCGCACCGCGTACCGGGAAGGCGAAGTGCGAATCCGGCCGGCGGGCCGATTTGTCCCGAGCACGACAGTGGCGCGGCTGCCAGTTGCAGGTGCGCGAGGTGCAACAAGACAAAGCGGGCCTCCTGATTGCAAAGGGGCTGGAGCGGCGAGCGCGGGACACAACGACGACGACGACGACAACCCCTTGGCGGACAGCCAAACGCTCCACGCGTGCGTGCGCGGTCACACGTCCCCAAATCGTGAGGCGCCACTGCAGCAGACTGATTCCGAGAGTCGCCTTTCGCCGCTCCGTCTCTCTCGCACTCACGGGGCGTACCGTATGGGCGGGAGAGAGACGGCGCGACGGAAAGCGACTCTCAGTCTGCAGCGCCACCTAGACCACGCGCGAGGGGCGCCAGGCACGACAGCGGGCGTCGTGGGCCGCCAGCGTCGCCGCCAGCGCCGCCTCCACGGCGGGTGGGTGACATCCCCGCCTAGCCCGCCGCAGCGCCGCGGCCACGCGGCCAGCCACACAATGGAGCGGGTCCGCGGCAGCCCGCGGTGCAGCGGGGAGCAGAGAGTCCCAGCGCCACCGGTCTCTGCGGTCACCGTGGGAAGCAGCGAAGCGGCCCCCTGGCCATGCCTCGGCCATGCCTCGCCGGGGCCTGGGATGTAAACGCGATGTGGCGGCCCGATACCCCCACCCCTTCCCCCCAGGATTAATGTTTCGGGGGACAATACACACAGCGGGCGCGGCGTTGAGCGACGCGGAGGAGAAAGCGGGCGGGTGGCATGCAAGCCGGTGGCACTGGCAAGCCCGGCAAGCCGAGCAAGCCGCTGGACCGAAACAACGAACCGATCATCGCGGGCCTGGCGCAGCCTGGGGCCGACGGCCGCCGACGGCCTGACACACTGCCCAGCGCAGGCCGCCCATTGTGCGGGGCCAGCCTACCGCGTCCAGGGGGCCATGACCACGGCCAGGTGTCGCCGACTTGGCGAGACTGGTGCTCCCAAACTAGCAGTGGCCAAGGCGTTTCCGAGGCGGGGCATGGGAGAGTGGGGTTTTACGAATACCAGGACGTACAGGGAGACCATCAAGCATAGCTAGATTTGACGCTCTGGCCGCCGAAAGTCAGCAAAAACCGCGACCTTCAGCGATCACGGGCGAGCACCCCGTCGAGACACACGAGCCCTCCACGGCTCACAAACGTTGCGTCCGCTGCCAGGCGGCGGGCTGCTGCGTCTCCTCGACCAGTACGCTCCTGGGCAGTCAAGAAGCATCACTCTACTTTTTCTCGGCGCCTCCGACGGCGACGCCACGACGCCACGACGCCACGCAACGGCAGTGGGGCATCGCGGCGCCGAGGGAGGCACTCGGAGGCCTGGAGGACGCCGCGCACGACTCACACGACCCGCGCGGCCGCGCCGCGCACCCTGATGCAACCTCGCGTCTCGCGTCCAGCCAGCGCCAGGGAGGCGCCGGCGCGGCCCGCCCGCCCCGGCCTGACCCCGCACACCCCCCGCCTCCTCCTTCCCCGGTCCGGCCCGGCCCGGCCCGATCGCCGGCGATCCACGAGTCCGATGCGCGATGCGCGATGGCTGGCTGGGTTTCGCCACTTGGCCAACAACCTTGCGGGCCTTGCGGGCCTCCTCGTGGGTGAGAGGGAAAGCCAGGCCAAGCCAGGCCGAGCCAGGCGCGCGGCCGTGGCGGCAAGTTCAGAGGGCACCGCGGCACGCCGTCGGCGGGGTGCTACATCTCGCGGACATGACGTGGACGTTATGCGTCATTCATCATCCCGGCCGCCCCCTTCCCGGCCGTCTCCCAGGTCTCCCAGCACCGCCAAGCACGGGCTGGTACAACACGCGGCGCTCGAAGCAGCGCCAGCGCCTGTCCGCGCCACGCCGCTTGGCCGCTTCGGGGTTTATTTTCGGAGTCCATCAAACCGGCCCGCCCCGCCCCGCCGGCCAGCCGCGCCGGGGAGGAAAACGAAACGTGGATACGCTGCATCCCCGGCCGCCAGTGGACCGCCAGTGGACCGCCAGTGGACCGCCACCCTCGCCGCCGCATTCGCGTTCGCGGCGCTGCTGGCCTACATCGAGGCACACGACGCCGAACAAGAGGAGAGGACAGCGAGGTCGCGTGCGCCGAGCATGGCGCCGAGCGCCCCGCGCTCAATCCCATTTCCATCGGGTTTCGTGCGCCGATGATGGCCCTTCGGGTTGGGACGTCCCGAACAACAGCAACCACACACACACACACACGGCCTGGTATTAGAAGCCGGTCAAAGGACGGCGATGGGAAAAGGGGGCGCGGGCATCACGCGAGGGCCCCGCTGCCACCGAGGGAGCCCAGCCGGTGGCGTGCAAGCCAGGGGCGGCCAGAGAGCCCCCGTCAGCTCGGCCCAAACTCGATAGATTTTAATTGGAAGATCGGTGGTGGGCGGTGCCGCACAGCCACGACCCCTCGACTCTTCTCTCTCTCTCACACACACACACACTCACGAGGGGGCGACGCTCACGTCGACGTCCCGGCGCCTCTGCGGCCAGGCTCGGGGCGTCGCGGCCGACCGGCCGACCGACCGCGAGGTCGCTGCACGCGGTCGGCAGCGCGGCAGCGCGGCGCGCCAGCCGGGCTGGAAAACCAATTACAGCGGGGCAAGCGCCGCGCCCCGCCCCACCCCGCCCCGCACTGGACACAATGTCCGTTCAATGAACGGATTACAATACAACTTGTGGAGAGCGCGCGCGGCCGGTCGGCCGGGGCAGGGCAACACTGTGCGAACCGCTCCAGCCAGCTAATGACCACTTTCACTCCGGCCAGGGCAGGCACGGCGCGGCACGGCTGGGATCGACGACGTGGAGTGCCTGGCCGGCCGAGCAGGGTGCGGCGTGGCGCGGGGGGCGTTGCACTGGTGCAGGCCCCGAGTGCCCCGCGATGCAACTTTGTCGCGCTTCTTTGCCGTCGGCGGGTCGGCGGTGCGAGGAGTCGAAGGCCAATGGCTCCGCGCCATCCTGGGCGCCGACCAGCCCGCACCGACCCCTGGGCAGGGCAGCCCTAGGCCAGCCTCACCTAACCCGGGCCATCAATAACGCGGCCTGCACGCTGCAAGCTGCACGCCCCGCCCCGCCCCACCCCGCCCGTCCAATCACGGGCTGATTAATTTAAGTCAGAGCCTAGCGACGGCCACGCACGGAGCCACTCAGTCAAGGCGTCGACGCGCCCGTCCATCGCCCCAGCGTTTAAGGAACACAAAAAAAGAACAACACGAACTAAACACGCAACGCCACACGGCCACGGAGTCGCCGCCGTCGACATGGTGTCAATAGACTTTTGAAGAAAAAGTGTCTATGGACGCCACGGCGCCTGCGAAACCGGAGATAGGCAACCCGACGACACCGGAGCGTAACGGGGCAGCCTACCCGCCGGGCGTTCCAAGGCGCCTGCGAAACTCGAGATAGGCAACCCGACGACACCGGAGTGTAACAGAGCGGCCTACCCGCCAGGCGTTCCAGTCCCGGACACCCAAACCGGAGGACGGCAGACCGCTGTCATGTCGTTTGTCTTGCCCTCTCCCCTTTGCCCTCTTGTCCACCCGATGCGATCGACGGGGACCCGCATGGGAGTCGCCATGAGGGTCCTTCCTTGTCCCCCGCAAGGTCGGGAGGGACAGGCAGCTTCACGGGCCGGGCCTGCTTGGCCTGCTTGGCCTGCTTGGCCTGCTTGGCGTGCCTGGCCCGACGGCCTGCATAGGCGCGCGTCGGCCCGGCCGCGGCCCTTTAAAGGAGTGGGCCGCGAGGCCGCCAGGCCGGCCACCCTCCTGGGGATGGACCACCGCCCAGTCGAGCCCCGCCCCCCGCGGCGAACGCAGCGGGGGTCCGCGACTCGGCCGATCCGTCGCCGTCCTCCTCGGAAGCCGGTAGGCATACGGGCAGAGTGACTCGGAGACCGCCCTGCTCCCCCAAGACCGCCGCGACGTACGACCCTTGGCGGGCTGCTCCCGCGGCGCCGTCGTCCCTCGCTCCTCCCACGCCGCGGCCGGCACGGCGAGCCTCCATAAAACTGCGGACACCGCGGACACCCCCTCCCTCCCTTCCCTTTTCTCCCGCGCGGCAAATTTCACTTTCCACGCTGCGACCGCCGCCAACGCCGCCAGCGCTGCCAGCGCGGCCGCACACTGCTTCGCCGAAGTGCACATCATCGGCCTCCTTGGCGCGGCGGCGCAGCCCGCGAGTGACATCACCCCGCCGCGAGCCGCGACGCGCTGACATGTCAATGCTACGCGCCGCCGGCCAGACGTACCGCCTCGGCGTCGTCGGCGTCCCCCCGGGCATGCAGCGGCGCAGCGTGCGGCACCACGGCGACGTGGCGGGGCAGCATCCCGGGCCGGGCCGGGCCATGCCATTACGGCGCCGTGAGCTAACGACGCTCGTTGCGCAAGGCGGCAAGGTGGCCGATGAAGACAAACAAGGTCCTTCCCGGCGTCCCCTACACTTTACATTTTTTTATCCACCCGCCTTTCATTTTATTTTTATTTTCTTTCCGCCGCTTCCTCAAAGCCGGTATTTACGGCGGCCCGGTAAATGGCCAAACGGAAAACGGAGGAGGGCGCGGGGCGGGGCGGAGCGGGGCGGAGCGGCGAGTGCCCCGGGCCCCGGGCCGGCCGCTGCCCCGGCGACCCCGTTTCTTACATCACCCCGCGGGGCGCGTCGCCCAATGACAACCATGACCACCTCTTCCTCCTCGACGACGTCGCCGTCAACGGCGCGCCGAGACGCGGGCCTCGACGCAAAGGTGCGGCAGTGCCGCGGCAGGAGCGGGGCTCCGACAAGCAGTGCCCGCCAGCCTGCCGGCCCGGAAACCGGAGAGAGAGAACACAATTTGCATGGCGGCCCGACAAGCCAAGCCCCGCGCGGCCGGGCCGTGCCACACCGCGCCAAAGGCACCGACTGCCGCGCCATGAATGAGTAAGGTGCCGATGCCGCCGCCCTTGCGCCCTTGACGGACAACCCGCCCGGCCTACGTGCGCCGCCCAGCTGGCCTCATGGCCCCCGGCATCGGCTACAGCGTGGCGCAGCCAGCCCAGCCATTCGTCGCTCTGTCTCTCTCGCACCCCTATGGACAGCCCCACGGGTGCGACCGAGACGGGGCGACCAATCGACTTTCCCTCCGGCCGGGCCGCAAGCGCGGGCTGACCAGCCAGCTGACCAGCCAGCGGCCCGGCCGATGAGTCGCATGATGGCGGCCGCCGAAATGCCGCCGACGTCGTGCCCGGGGCCCGGGGCGGATGGCGGATGTCTCGTGTCGTCTGGCTCTGACTCTGGCTCGTCCGGCCCGTCTCGGCCGACTCGGCCACGCGGAACGGAACGGGCAGACATCGATCAGTCAGAGAGCAGCCAGCGCGGCACAGCCAGCGAGCCGCCGGTCTTGCCTTTCTGTCTTTCGGCGAGCCGCCACTTCCTCCGCCCGATGGGCTCGGCGGTTTCCATTTTGGCTGCGGGACTCAGCCTTACCGCCATTGGCAGTGGCATTCACTCACCTCTGCCGTTGTGGTGGGCGGGCGGGGTGGCCGGCGCCTGCAGCGCGTGGTGGTGGCCGTGGTGGCCGTGGTGGTGGGGCTGCAGGCCCTGCGACAGCCCCTGCGTCATGATGATCTTGTCCTCCAGCTCGTGCAGCTCGGCCTGCAGCTCGGACAGCCTGCCGTTGGCCGCCTTGACGATGGCCGCCACGGAGCGCCGGTCGGCGGCCACCTCGCGCAGCTTCTCGGCGCCCTCCTTGATCTTGAGCTCCTTGCGGATCTCGCGCCGGATCAGCTCCTTGAGCTCCTCCAGCACGTTGGGCAGCTCCGACTCGGGCACCTGCTCCGTGCGGAGCCCGTACTTGTGGCTCAGCTCGTACAGCACCGGGTGGCCCGCGCCACCCGCGCCCTGCAACACGAGAAAAACCTCTGTGAGCGACACTGGAGGCAGACGGCAGCACGTCAAAACAACAGCCCCTAAACAGGCAATTTGGCGCGGCGCCGCGGCGGCTTGGCGGCAGCGGGACCTCCTCCATCCACTCCACCATCGCCAAGCTGCCGCTTCTCAGTCCCACGGTAAAACAATTAGGGACCCGGCGGCGTGAGGCGCTCGGCAGCTCGGCAGTCGCAGGAAAGGAAGCGCCGCTATACCTACGCCGCGGCCGGGGCAGGCCGGGCAGGCCAGGCGGCGGGGCCCTCGCCAGGCAAAGCCAGGCCCTCGCCAGAGCCGCCGACCAGGAAACGCTAAATTGCAACGCGGATGGATTCGCCCCATTGAAAATTCAGCACGCCGCCATCTCCGGGCCCAATCTCTTCCCAGGCCGGCGAGGTGCCGGGCCGAGGCGGTGGGCTGGTCCGGCTGGCGGTAGCTCACACGGCGCGAGTCAACGCCCCGCGCCGCCAAGCAGTGCCGCGCGGTGCCGAGTGGGCCGCGCAGGGACACGCCGACGCCGCCACTGCAGTGCGCCATCCGCCGCGCGATGCGTCATGCGTGCGGAGCGCGTAGCGGCGGCACCGTCAAAACCAGTCAAAACATTCCCGGCGTGCCGAAGCAGCGCGACGCAGCGCCCCGAGCGCACCGCGCCAGCGCGTTATCCCCCCCCCCCCTTCCTCTTGCCCGACCGATCAGCCAGCGATCGGGCGGCGAGCAGCCACCGCGCCAACATCCACACGGTCTATTTGGCCGGCGAAAGACTCACAACCGGAGAGGAAAGACGGAAGGCCGCGGCGCTGAGTGAAAAGGGGAAAAGAAGGGGGGGGGGCTGCCCTGTTCACTGGGAAAAAGGCGCGGGGCCGCAATGGAACCAACCTCGAAGGACCAGGGTGCGAGTCCATTCTTTAGGGTGACTTAAGACCCCTGAACCTGAAGGCAACCCGTGGGCGACGCGGACCGAAGCCGAGGCAGACAGGCAGTCGCCGGAATGCACCTGCTGCAGCTTCGCATGCTCCGCAGTTCCACGGCGAGCCGTCCCCTCCCTTCCAGTGCACGCATCCACGCGGCGAGGGAGAAGGCCGAAGGGACGGCGCGCCCTTCCCGACATCCGCCCCATGCGTATACACTGGACGGTGTACACTCCGACCCGGCCTCGCGAGCAAAAGAGGGGGGAGGGGAGCATTTAGCCCACTTTTATTGGCTCCTTGACACGGTAATAACGCGCCAATCGCAGCGCGCGCTTCCTGTCGGACGGGCTGCCGGCGCAGCCAGCAGACGACAACAACAACAACAACAACAACCTCCGCGCAGCCCTGGCCGGCCCTGCGCGGCCCCGCGTCCGGGGACGTGAAGTCGGGGGAGGCGACGCAAGGCGACGGCGACGCCTCCCGACGGGGCGTCAGATCCGCCGACGCGGCCGCAGATAGGGCAGCATCCGGCATGGCGACCAGGTACACGGCGACGCCAGGCGCCAGGCCGGCAGGCCCAGGACTCGGGGCGCAGCGGCCGCGGGGACGGAACCGCCAAAAAAACTCAAGTTCGGATCGTCCGTCCGGGCCGGAGAGTCGCTTGGACGCTTGCCATCGCCGCGCACCGCGAGGAACAGCGGGGCGGCTGGACGACTGGAGGCAGCTCGGGGCGACGGGGCGGAGAGCAACGGCCCATCCTCCAGCGCCAAGCCGCGGCAGCGAACCACTCCACATCGCCGCACGAGGACGGTCATCGTCGGCCAACACCTCGCGACTTTGGTCCGCTGCAGATACAAGACGAGACAGTGGCGGCACCGCAGGGGCGTCGCACCTGGCCGTCATCGTCATCGGGGTGGTGTCCGTCCGGGCGGCACAGCCCCTGCAGCGCGGCGCGGCCGGCCGCCAGCAGGCACCGCGACGCGCTCATCGCCACTGGCGGGCCGACGCGCCGGACGCGGCCAATACAGTGCGAGCGCCTCGACAGTGTGCTCGACAGCCCTCGGGCACCTCGGCGATAGCGATAGCACCGATAGTGGATTAGGCTGTCCATCACGGGCCGGTCGGCCGGGCCCACAGGCCGGGCCCACAGGCCGGGCCCACGCCACGCTCCGCCAAAGCGGCACAGGCAATCCAGCAGGCACCACCACCGGCACGCCCGGGCACGCAGTCTCTCTCGCACGCACGGGGCGTCGGGCAAAGGTGCGAGAGAGACAGAGCGACGCACCACTGTGGGGAATGAGCCTGCCGTCACCGCGCCGCCGCGTCGCCTCGCGAATCGGGGACAAGGATAACTTTCAAATTCGCACAGCGCGGCGGGACGGGACGGGACGCGGGTGTGCCGCGTCGCAGTGCTCTCCGAAACCGGAAGCGATCCAATTGTCGCACCGCAACGGCCGAGGACGGCGTCTCTCGCACTCGCGGGGCGTCCCGTGTGTGTGCGAGAGAGACAGAGCGACGACGCTGTACAGTGCGCCGCCGCGTCGCCACGTGCTCGGTCCAGGGCGAGAACGGCGAGGCCTCCGCGGACCCGCGGTACCCGTGCCGCCTGTACGTGGAGATAACGCCGCAGCGTGGCGTGGCGAGGCGTGGCGTGGCGGGGCGTGGCGTGGCGAGGCGTGCCAACTGACGGAAATGTCATCACCTGCGAGCGCGCTCGCGACCCGTAGCGCCGGATGGCCGATGCGGCGGGGTCTGGCATGGCCTGGCACGGCAGGTAGCGGCCCCGCTCTCTCCGCCACACCCCGCCCCTCTCTCCCCGCCCCGTGCCGCCCCGTCCCGGCCCCGCTATCTGCGGACCGCCAACCTGTCCTTCGTATCCTTCGCCTGCCACAACGGCGCCCCGGCCCAAACACTGGCCGGACTGACGGCACGCCCGGTGTGATAAGGGCGGGGCGGGGCGGGGCGGGGCAAAACGTAGGCCTTCGCCGGCAGTGCGGCCCCAAAAGGTCACACCCCGCCAACAGGCTCATTCCGCGCAGGGAGGCGTGCTTCGTCGCTGTCGCGCTCTCTCTCTCTCTCGCACCTACAGGACGCCCCACGGGTGCGAGAGAGAAGGAAGGACGAAAGCGCTGCTGTTCGGAGCGAGCCCCCAGGGCCACCGGCGGGGAAAGCCTCACCTTTGCGACGCGTGCTGTCCCGGCCCTTAATTTATGCACACCTCCTGCATTCCGAGATAACGCTTCGCGAGCAAGGGCGGCGAGGACTGCGGGGACTACACTGCGAGCACGGCCGCGGCCTACCTCACCCACCGAGGGCACCCAGGGCACCCAGGGCTCCCCACTGGCCGCCACGCCGCCAACACGCACCCATGCATGGCGCGGAAACACATCCGGTCCACCCAACGGAATAGGCAGGCAGGGCAGGGCCGCAGTCTCACGAGGACGCCGAGCCGACAGCTTGCGTGCGTACGCGTGCGGCAACGGCGCTAAGGACTGCGAGCGCCTCGGAGCGAGTGCGACTCATGTGGGCCGGGACAGGCACCGCCGCCAGTGTAGTGGCCCCCTCACTTCGGGGCGATTCAATTTGGCTCGCGCTTTTGTTCAGCCGCAGCACACAGACGGACGGACGCACGTCCGAACCTCATCCACCACTTCGTGCCACGGGGAGCCAGGCAGGCAGGCAGGCAGCCTCGCCAAATAAAGCCACAGCTGCAACGTGATCCTCTTTTGGCCGCTTTGCCCCGCCCCGCCCCGCCCCGCTGGCTGCCCCTCTTTTTTCCTCCTCCTTAATTTTTACTCCGCCGCGCTCGGCCGATCAGAGCGTCGGGGCGCTGGCGCACACGTGAGGCGGCCGCGCAGCGCACAGCGCGCAGCAACCAGAGCAGAAGGAGCAGAGGCTGCCGGGGGCCGCCACACCGCGGCTGGCTGCCTGGCCCCAGTTCAACGAATGGAACAATGCGGAGGGCAAAAACAAAGTGCCCCGGAACACTAAGGGCCTAATTGCAGGCCCCACCAATGGGGCCGTGCCCTGGGCATGCCCTGGCCGTGCCCGCGTCGATGATTGACTCTCTGTGTTTGCCTTGCCTGCCTGCCGCCCCCCCCCCCCACCCCCCCCCCCCCACACACACACACACACAGACACAGACAGCCGCGGTCCGACACAATGAAGGGCGCGGCGCGACATCCTCTTATCAGCGAGCCCCAGCAGAGCCCTCTCACTCATTCCGAAAAGCCGCTCAGTCGCCCTGTCTCTGTCGCACCCGCAACCACGGGGCGTCCCGTCAGGGGGTGCGAGAGAGACGGCAGTCTCTTCCGGCTCGTCCGATGGGCCGCGTCACTACACTGGGAATGGGACCGCTGCGAAGGCCGGCATTGCGACCGACGGCTTGGCTTCCCTTTCCCGGCCCTGGCCGCCCTGGCCGCCCCGGCGCGGTGTGGTGTGGTATCGTTTTCGCGGTTTCGGCCTTCGGGTGGACGGGCAGGAGCGGGCAGGAGTCGGCAACGCCGCCGTGGACCACCGCAGACTCTCTCGGACGGACCCATCTCTGCCCCACTGCCAATCCCACCAATCTGCCCGCGGCCCACACGCAACCGGCCAGGCCCAGATTGATTCCGCACAGCTTTCCGTCTCTCTCGCGCCCACGCGGGGCCACGCGGGTGCGAGAGAGACAGCGCGGGTCGGTTGATGACCGCGCCGCCCACCGCGGCGGCCATTAGCCATTAGCGCACAGGTAGCGAGCGGGCAGGACGTATTCAAATAGTCGCCGCCACGCCCACGCAGTGCGCGCAGTCACCGATTAATTTTCGGTTCTATTTTGCTGCGGCGGCAGTGGCGGTGGCAGTGGCCAGCCGAGTGCAGGGGGGCCGAGTGCAGGCCGCAGGCTCGAGTCGCTCTCACTCAGCCGAATTCTCACTGGGCCGAATCCCCACTGGGCCGAAATGCCACTGGGCCGAATTGTCACAGAGCCGAATATGATCATGCTTGTGCTCTAGCCACGTGTCACTCGGCCGAAATCCCACAGAACCGAATTCTCACTTGGCCGAATGTGCAGACCATCTTCAAATGTGA